TACGTTCCCCATTTTAACTTGCAAAAAATTTGATTATGCTGCAATCGGAAAATGTACCTAGTTACATGAAATTCTGAGGAAAACTTTCCTGCGCTCAAAACTTTGTACTTTATGGCGCTCAAAATGGTACATAAAATGTAGAATTTCACCTGGGATTTTGGCACACATCCAATTTTTTTATTTTTATTCGGTCAAAATGTATAGTCAAAACGCCAACTTTATCACTGACATTTTGAAACCAATCTCACATAGTGAAAAACTCCCAAACCGCCCGTGTGTCATAATTGATTTGGCCTAACTTTGGGCGGCACAACCTCACGAATGATATGTCCTTGAGGCCTATTGCTAACGAGGCAAACGTGGTCATGATCTCTTGCGTTAGGTCAGGTCGGATACTCGCGAGACGTTCAGCAGCGCATTTCAGCATGAATCATGATCATAGTTTAATGGGGCCGGACAGAACTTTCGAACTTTCAGGTTCCTTCGGCAGGATCCTGCATTCGTTATCGTTGTGCCTTGCAAGTACTTGCACAGGCTGCAATTCTTATCTTCCGGATCTCTTGATTTCAGGAAATGTTACGGCCACAAAGTATACTGGAGACTTGGTATGCCTTCCAGCCGCATCAAGGACGTTTCAGAACTATGGTGACTATTATATTTACCGCTAGTATTCTTAGTCCCATCTATCCATTACTGATTCCTGTATCAATCCAGATCAATCAGCTCCACATATCATTATCGCGCGCAAATTCTTCGACTCAGATTACATCTCAAACGGCCGGGGTTAACGTTCATCAAGCGAAATAACCTTCAAGAACCAAGTTAACGGCCATCACAATAATTTTTGTATTAACTTGCGAGTATGTTGATCATAGCAGGTGACCTTGCTTTACATATTGCTTAGTGGAGGATTTCTCAACTAACTCACGTCTAGTCATCTGGTGCTAAGTCGGTGTGCCTACGGATCTACCCAATCCCATTGTAACGGTTGAGTTTGGCATGGAGAGAGACTGGAGCAGGTGCCAGGGATCTCGCACAGGTATCCGGGGTCATAGATATCATACAAGGCTAGTTGTATATTTTAGGGTTAGGACTATCATCTCGTACCACCACCATCAGCTGCGTGTCTGCGGCGTCCCGCCCAACGCATCCTGTGACTACTACATCCACATGATTGAAGTATTCATCATGATCATCAGGCTCGGCCAAATGTAACCGTATTCACAGCCTCCCCTTGATGGGTTCTCAGCTCATTCATAAGAGAGATAAAAAGGCGCGTGCGTGAAGCTCGGGTTTTTTTCCTTCTCGAGTGAATGCAGATGGAATCTCCAGTTGATGACGTCGCAGCGGCCAAGGGTTTGAAATTATTAGCGGTGCGTTTCCTTTTAATGTGAAGGCAAGATGATAACGAACACGCGGTGACCAGTACATTTACAGTGCGTGCTATCTGAACTGCTGCTTCTCGGTTCTAACCTGACAGTTCAGCGTCAACGGCGACATTCTGGGTATGCTCGTCTTGTTCTATTCTGTCTGCCGTTAAACTCGCTTGTGTAGACCTATGATTTTCTTTGTTCACTTGATGAAGAGGTAATGCACTCGTTCCGTGATACCCCTCACTTTGGATGTTGATAATATGGTGTTCGGCTCGGAAGTGGACATTCCTACTTCAATCACGCTGGACAAAGGTGAAAGGCCTTTATATCATTACACGATATATCCCATTTGCCGCTATCGTCTTGGAACTATGTTGTATGTGTATTCCCAACACTGCACACACACCCAATAATGAATTGACATGCTTTGCTTCAGTGGCCTTGACCCCAAACGAGAATCCCGAGGTATGCAGCGGACCTCCACTGATGATGACGCTTGCTGTATGACTTCGCTAGAACTGCCCGATATTGAGCAATGTCTTCACATGTACGCGCACAGTCCATGCTGCATGCACATCCTTACCGAGCGTCGCTCTTTCATCTCACAGATTTCGGAGTGATATCACTCACTCTCTCTGAATGTATTTCTCCTTACCCCACGATATGGGTCTCTTCCTGATCAGATTCACCCAGGCTTTTTTATTCTCAGGACGTATGCACTCTGGAACAACAACAGAATCGTTCTCATAGCCGTGCTCTCCGCCTTTTTTGTGAGTTACATGCGCACTCCACACCCTAGCTCACTTTTGACGAACCAGGCAGGCAACCATCGCATCATGCATCGGCATTTTGATTCCCGCTGGTAGTGCCCCTGAAGGTTTGTGCTCTCACTTTCCCCGGTCATTATACTATTCGCTGTATTCACTCTACTTTCGCAGTTTCGACTGGCGTGATCCCAGGCATCCAAGGCTGCTCCGAGAGCGTACAAGGTGTCCAATTATTCTTGCCTTTTGTTCTCTCGTTTGTGTTTCAACTAGGTATGCGATCGGGAACTTGGAGCATACATTACAGACTCACACGTTGACTGACACTCTCTCAAGGACTGATCTGTCTCACGATCACACGCGCTATACAGAGGTGGCGGTCGGCCCAGGGCCCTCTGTTCGCTATATTGGTGAAGCATAACATATTCTACTATGCATGTGGTTTACGTGAGTTAGGCCTTGCATATATTTCCGTGCTCATCAGTGATGATCACTGTTTCAACAGTTTTCTCGGCCGTGAACTTTCTTCTGCCAATACTGCTTTTGGATGTGCGTAAACAATACCTTTCGATAAGATGTAGTCATTGATGTCTCTCAGATGTATGCCGTATACTCTGCCCTCCAAGCGTATGTACGTCACAATTCTATTGCAAATTCCTACTGACAGCCTCGCAAATACAGTTTGCAGATATTTATTCTTGCAATCCTCGCCACACGCATGCACCTCCACCTCTGGCATGCCGAGCGGCGTGTGGACGGCCCTGTGGCCCCCGTGTGCATTTCTTTGTCCGACATACCATCTATAAACCAAATGGCGTGACGCTTGCCTTATTCGGCATCGTTTGTGGAACTTGATCTACGAGATGACTGGTCCATTTGGAAATTGGGACGTGCTTGTATGACTCCCTCGTAGGAATCCATTTTTGTCATGGGAGTGAGATGTATTGAGATATGAACTCATGAGCAAGCCAATCGAGGACAACGTGAACAACGACGACGATTTCTGGGTTGCTTTACACGGCGGTTCCCTTAGTTTTCTCTGGAAAAAGTCTGAATAGCCAGTTTCTTTAGCCCTGGCAAAGACCCCAAGGATATTGGCGGCCATGCAGGTTGATTCGATTCCGATTGATGGAGTGGAGACTGACTCAAAAGGATTTTGCAGGTCCTCGATTCACTGTTCCGAAGCCCAGTATACGTACTAGCCATTCCACCAGTACTGTGCACGATGTCGATGTACAGAGCCGTTGATTTGATCAACTTGCGAATCGCTGGGTGATGTAGGGAGATACTACCCCATCTTGATCTCAAGAAGTTTGATTTGTTGTATTGGACAGCACCGCTATGCAATCCACGGCATGTTCCACCAGTTCCACCCACGGGTACCCGGTATGTACCGAAAAATGGTAAATGACCAACCGTCCGTCCGAATTGATTTTTCAGGAATTGGTCCAACTTTGGGCGTCAGCGGGCGGCACGCCACACAACTTCATGGGCTTGAGGCACGAGGCGAATATAGACACGACCTCTAGCGCTAAGTCAGGGATACCTACGAGACGACCAGCAGCACATTTCAGCGTGATCATGGTTTATCGGATGATGGGGACAGAGAGATCGGACAGACGGGATGGACAGAACTTTCGAACTTTCAGGTTCCCTCGGTACGGATCCTAGATTCGTTATCTACATATAATTGATAAGTGGCCTTCTGATCGATGATAGTGTGCATCGGGTCCTGATGGAACGATACTGTCGTGTCTTAAAAAGTACTTGCAAGTTGCACGGGCTGCAATTCTTATCCTCCGAAATCAGCGACGAGTCCGGATCCCTTGATTTCATTTGACTTCAGGAAATGTTACGGCCACCAAGTATATTGGAGGCTTGATATGCCTTCTAGCCGCCTCAAAGGCGCCTCAGGGTTAAATTTGCCGTCAGTATTCTTAGTCCCATCCACCCATTACTGATTCCTGTATCAATCCAGGTCAATCTGCTTCAAATATCATTATTGCGCGCGAATTCTTTGATTAAGCGCATCTAAAACAGCCGAAGTTTATCAAGCCTTTCAGAAGTAACCTTCAAGAACCAATGGCCACCATAACGACCACATGCCCGGGCCATGATGCGAACTGTGTATCAACTTGCGAGTGTGTCAATCATGCCTACACACAACAGGTAACCTTGTTTTACACATTACCTGGTCGAGGCTAATTCACGTCTAGTCGCCTGGTACTAAGGCGGGGTGTCCACGGATACACACAATTCCGTTGTAACGGTTGAGTTTAGCATGGAGAGAGACGGGTTAAGATTATCATCCCAAACCAGTAACCACCAGCATCAGCCGCGTGTCTGCTGCGTCCCAACTAGTACATTCTCTGACTACATCAACATAATTGACGGATCCATCATGATCATCAAGCTCGGCCAAATGGTAACAATGTTCACAGCCTCCCCTTGATCGGTTCCCAGTTCATTCATAAGCGAGATAAAGGTGTTCGCACGAAACTTGGGCTTTTTACTTTTCGAGCCAATATCTGCAGATGGAATATTCAGTTGATGATATAGCAACGGCCAGGAATTTGCAATTCTTAGTGGTGCGTTCTTTCTTGATGTGAAGGCAGGATAATAACGAATGGCATGTGATCACCAGTACATTTACAGTGCGTGCTGTTTGAACTGCTTCTTCATCATTCTAACCTGACGGTTCAGTATCAACGGCGACATTCTGGGTAGGCTTGTCCTGATGTATTCCTGTCCGCAGTTAAACTCGCTTGTGTAGACCTATGATTTTGTTTGTTCACTTCAAGAAGAGGTAATGCACTTATTCAGTGATACGCCTCACTTTGGATGTTGATAATATGGTGTTCAAAGTGGACATTCCTACTTCGATCGCGCTGGACAAAGGTAAAAGGCATTTATGTCATTGCACGATATGTCCCATTTGTCATTATCATCTTGGACCTATGTCGTACGTTAATTCCCAACACTGCACATCCCCCCGATAATGAATTGACATTCTTTGCTTCAGTGACCTTGGGTCAAAACAAGAATCCCAAGGTATGTGAAGCGGAATTTCACTGATGACGTCGCTTACTGTGTGACTTGGCTAGGAATGCCAGATATTGAGCAATATTTCCGCATGTACGCGCACAGTCCATGCTACATGCACATCCTTGTCGAGCGTTGCTCTTTCCTCACAGTTTTCGCAGTGATATCAATCACTTTCTCTGAATGTATCTCTCCTTACCCTGCGACATAGATATTCTCCTGATTAGATTCGCCTAGGCTTTTTTATTCTCAGAATATACGCACTCTGGAACAACAACAGAATCGTACTCGTTACCATGCTGTCCGCTCTTTTCGTGAGTCACATGCGCACATCACACACTAGCTCATGTTTGACGAGCCAGTCAGGCAGCCATCGTATCATCTATCGGCATTATGCTTGTCATTGGTGCTCCCTCTGATGGTTTGTGCTCTCACTTCCCCCCGCCATAATACTATTCGCTATGATAGTTTACTCCACTTTCGCAGTCACGACCGGCGTGATCCCAGGCATCCAAGGCTGCTCCTGGAGCTCACACGACGTTCGATTATTCTTGCCTTTCATTCTCTTGTTTGTGTTTCAACTGGGTATGTAGTCGGGAACTTGGAGTATGCATTGCAGACTCACACGCTGACCGACGCTCTCTCCAGGACTAGTCTGCCTCACGATCACACGCGCTATACAGGGCTGGCGGTCGGCCAAGGGCCCTCTGTACGCCATACTGGTAAAGCATAATATATTCTACTATGCATGCGGTCTTTGTGAGTCAGGCCTCACATATATTTCCGTTCTCATCAGCCATGATTGCCGTTTCAAAAGTCTTCTCGGCCATGAACGTTCTTCTGCCAATACTGCTTGTGGATGTGCGTAAAAAATACCTTTCAATACGATGCAGTCATTGATATTTCGCAGATGTATTTCTTATTCTCCTGCCTCATATGGTATGCGCATCACAATTCTATTGCGAATTCCTACTGACAGCGTCTCCAAATACGCATGTACAGTTGGAGATCTTTATTCTAGCAATCCTCGCCACACGCATGCACCTCCACCTCTGGCATATTGAGCGGCGCGTGAACGGCTCTGAGGCCCTCGTGTGCATTTCTGTGTCCGACATGCCCATCCCGTTGTACAGGTTGGGTTTGGAAGGGAGAGACTAGAGCAGGTGCCAGGGATCTCGCACAGGTGTTCGTCATAGATACCATACAAGGCTAGTTGCATGTTTTAGTCAGCTGCGTGTCTGCTGCTCCCTAGTGGCATCGGACATCCTGTGACTACATTAACCTAATTGAAGGATCTATCATAATCATCAAGCTCAGCAAGATGGTAACAATATGCACGGCCCCCCTTGATGGGAGCTCATTATAAGAAGGCGCGTGCGTGAAACTTGGGTTTTTTTTACTTCTCGAGCGAATGCAGATGGAATATTCAGTTGATGATATCGCAACGGCTAACAATTTGCAATTCTTAGCGGTGCGTCCTTTCTTAATGTGAAGGCAGGATAATAACGAATATGTGGTCACCAGTACATTTACAGTGCGTGCTATCTGAACTCTCTCATTCTAACCTAACAGTTCAGCATCGACGGCGACATTCTGGGTAGGCTCGACTTGATCTATTCCCGTCCGCCGTTAAACTCACTTATGTAGACCTATAATTTCGTTTGTTCACTTGACGAAGAGGTAATGCACTTGTTCCGTGATACGCCTCACTTTGGATGTTGATAATATGGTGTTCGACTCGGAAGTGGACATTCCTACTGCGATCACGCTGGACAAAGGTAAAAGGCCTTTATATCATTACACGATATGTCCCATTTGTTCTTGTCATCTTGGACCTATGTCGTACGTTCATTCCCAACACTGCACACACCCCCGATAATGAATTTACATACTTTGCTTCAGTGGCCTTGACCCAAAACGAGAATCCCAACGTATGTGCAGCGGACTTCCACTAATTGAGACGCTTTACTGTATGACTTTGCTAGAAAATGCCAGATGTTCGACAATATTTTCACATGTACGCGCACAGTACATGCTGCATGCACATCCTTACCGAGCGTTGCTCCTTCCTATCACAGTTTTTGCAGTGATATCACTCACTTTCTCTGAATGTATCTCCTTTCACCCCGTGACATAAATGTTCTCCTGATCAGATTCACCCAGGCTTTTTTATTCTCAGAACGTATGCACTCTGGAACAACAATAGAATCGTACTCGTAGCCATGTCGTCCGCCCTTTTTGTCAGTCACATACCCACTCTACACCCTAGCTCATGTTTGACGAACCAGTCAGGCAACCATTGTATCCACCATCAGTCTTTCGCTCGTCGATGGTGCTACCTCTGATGGTTTGTGCTCTCACTTTCCCCCGCCATTATACTATTCACTATATTCACTCCACTTTCAGTCATGACTAGCACGATCCCAGGCATCCCAGGCTGCTCTCGGAGCCCATACAGTGCCCGACTCTTCTTGCCTTTTATTCTAGTGTTCGTGTTTCAACTGGGTATGTAGTCGGGAACTGGGAACATACATTGCAGACATCATACGCTAACTGACGCCCTCTCCAGGACTGGTCTGCCTCACGATCATACGCGTTATACAGAGCGGGCGGTCGGCCAAGAGCCCTCTGTACATCGTACTGGTGAAGCATAACATATTCTACTATGCATGCGGTCTGTGTGAGTCAGGTATTTCCGTGCTCATCAGCGATGATTACCGTTTCAAAAGTTTTGTCGGCCGTGAACGTCATTCTGCAAATGCTTGTGGATGTGCGTAAACGATACATTTCGATACGTTGTGGTCATTGATATTTTGCAGATGTATTTCGTATACTCCTCCCTCGTACGGTATGCACGTCACAATTCTATTGCGAATTCCTACTGACAGCGTCCCCAAATACGCATGCACAGTTTTCAGGTCTTTATTCTTGCAATCCTCGCCACGCGTATGCACCTCCACCTCTGGTATACTAAGCGGCACGTGCACGGCTCTGAGGCCCTCGTGTGCATTTCTGTGTCCGACATGCTACATGTTGACTGTACGGCGTGACGCTTGGCTTATTGGGCGGGGTGGACTTTGATCTACGAGATGATTCGTCGGATTTGGAAATTGGGACGTGCTTGTATAACCCCCTCATAGGAATCTCCTTTTGTCATGGGAGTGACATGTATTGAGATATGAACTCATGATCGAGGACAACATGAATGACGACGACAACTTCTGGCTTGCTTTGCTCGGCGGTTCCCTTAGTTGGCTCTAGAGAAAAGTCCGAATAGCCAGTACTTGTCATTAGTCCCAGCAAAGACTCCAAGGATATTGGTGGCCATGTAAGTTGTATTGACTCCGATTGATGGAGTGGAGACTGAAGGACTTTGCAGGTCCTCGATCGGTTCACTGTTCTGAGGTCCAGTATATGTGCTAGCAATTCCACCAGTGGTAAGTACTGCGCACAAAATATGTTTGTCGATGTACGGAACCGGTTCGATTGGTCCGTCATTTACACATTGAATTTTCGGCTTGAGTACAGGGCCTGAGACACTTGATAATCATGCGGGCTCATCTATCTTCGATGAACTCATCGTGACCGATCGTCGCGTAGACCCGTGTGTGCTATTCACGTGTGTACTTTGTTTCCCCTTTTGAACGAGATGGTGGAGCAAGGTACTTCATGGGAGATAGGTAAATCCAAGGCTCTCAACCTTAGCGGCCCTGTTTCCAAGCTCGCTAGTTAGACAATAACTAATGTTTGCAATGTTCTCTATGAGTGACGCATTAAAGAGGATCTACGTGATAGTCACCCAGACACACAGGCGGGCGAATCTCTCAGGCGTGCGCATCGCAGGGCCCAAATGCTGTCGAGTGCGTTGATAGGTGACTAGATAAAGATATCATCTGTACAAACTTGATGGCTACTCCAACGAGGTAGCGCAACAGATGTTGCAGTATAGGCCAGGGTCCCAGACGGGTCCCCAGCCTGCACCACAGCTAGCGGAAGCTTCAGGATCTAGGCAATCATATATGCATGTACTAGGAAGAGCTGCGTTTGCCCCGGCGGCGGCGGCAAGGATGATGAGGTAGTAGGTGAACTGGATCTTCATGGTGTCTAGTAGCCAATACTATGTGTCAGTGTCAGTGATGACTACCAGTGCCGGGGGAAAGCACCCACTGTCAGACTCAGTTTGGCTATGTGGTGTACGCAAAGGTGCTAATGGTGGCACGTCCAGGAAAAACTCAATGTGAAATAGATATGGTGTCCAAGTTGCCCACGTCTTCAAGTCAAAGGATTACTCACTTAGACGGGGTGATTGTCTTTGAGGATCCAAGCTCAGGTTTGGGACTTGCTACATTCAATTTATATCAACTGTGCGGCAGAACTGGATCTGCCTAAAGGTAAGCATACGTGGCAGAACAGCGTCAGAGACAACGAATATGTTGCTAATAGGAACTAGACGAAACGTTTATGCGGGTTATTTCAAGTTTGCCCATTTAAGCAGCCGGGATGACACCAAAGGAGCCCAGCTACGTCGCATTCCGTTAAGACCGCTTATAGTACTGTCCTCTTGAGTCACGGTGAGTAGCCACTTCGATGTCTGACAACCACTCACCTTGGTCACATTTCTTGTAACCCTGGCACCCTCTACTGACTCCCCCAAGAACCACCCTAGCAAGAGTCAAGGCGGTGCCAAATATACCATGTCCCATGGCGCCGGTTCTGTCAGCCTCAAAGGCGTCTTGTCTTTCCTTTCATTCCGGCAGCTTCCGTTTCAGGCCTGTTTTCAACGAGGCCCTGTTTGAGCAAGGGGCATTCTCAAAACGAGTTGCACTAGCGCGTCAGTAGCCGCGTCAAGACTCATCAGTGCCGCGTCACGACCGCGGCAGGCACGGCAGGACCGCATCAAAATAGCTACGCCCGATTCCACTTGGATTCAATAGGAAACACCCGAGGTGCTAATTTCTCAAGAGTTTAGAGATAGCTTGATACCGAGGCATGTGCACTGATTGTAAGGCAGCCCACCATTTCGAATTAGGGCTTTCGAAGCATGCTTAGCTACATGATCGCGTAGTTTCACTATGTCCTGTGTGTTGACATTTATTTGCATCTACGCGGAGACTCTGTGACGTGACGTTCAATGAACGTTCACATGAGAGAAAATGAATAAACTTTATCATATGCTAGGCTTCGCGTTGACTTTAACCTCAAGTGTTTTGAGCAATTCGCCTGAGTTGGCATCCCAGATTTTCAGCCTGAATTCCCCGCCGCTAGCAATCATCTTGCCATTGGGTGAGCAGCAAGTTGCATGCATGTCTTCCCCTGCCTTGATGGGTCCAAGGATGGTTTTTTCCGCTCACACTTTGAACGTCTCATCTCAGGATCTGCTCACCATTCGCCATCCATCTAAACTCCAGCATACAAAACGCACTTCCCATGGATGCCACGTCAATGTTCCACAATTTCACTGCGCCATCCGAACTTTCAACTCCCGCTTGCTACGGTCTTACCATCCGGCGACAATGTCATGGCAAACACTCCAAAATCTTTGTCCTCCCATTTCTCTCCAACCTGCATGCCCCTCTCCAAGTTCCAGACTCGAAATGACCCATCCCATCACCACGTGAAGATCCGCTGTCCACCAGGCAGGTGTAGGATGCGCTCGATGCCACCCTCTACTTTGATCTTTCGGTAAGGCATTGTCTCCGAGTTCTTGTGCTTCATGAGGGCTGGATGTGGCATGATTTCGGTTTCTGGATTCATTTGTTGTGTGGGTGATATTTCAGCTCTTGTCACCAAACCTCATACGAGTTCATCACTTACTCAGAATCCAAATGTACTCTACTTGAAAAGATGAATGCTGAATGAAAGCTAAGACGGAGTGGGCGTTTCGTTCGATAGGGATTCAGGCCAGGAGAGAAGTCGTCGTGTAAGTCTTCTGCAGGTGTCTCCCTTGCCTTGTGTTTGCTTCACAGCTTCAGCACTGGCTGCGTAGATTAAGCGCCTAACGCTCTTTTTCACAACATGCCCCTTTTCTTCATCTGCATTGACTCCTCGCCATCACGGTCTACAATCCCACAAGCCTCCCTGGGCCAATACGATCATACAGTCTTCGTATCTATTCCCTCGCACCGAAAATCCCTTGACAGTCCAACTCAACGCATCTTCTTCTTCTCTTTGAACCTTGTTCTCAACGTCCAACATGAGTTTTTTTGCATTCTTCGTCGCCATACCATCTAATTCGCAATTTGGCTATCCTGGTCACACATGTTCTTAGTTTTCGTCCAATCGCTCATTTCCAGATCTACGTCTACGTACTGGGAGCAACGTATCTGTGCAGTTCCAAGCAAACAAACTCGACAGTCCTCTATCGCTTCCTAAGACCACATTACTGACACAGCCATCGCCTCGTTTAGGGACGACATCATGCTTCAGCAGGTTGTCCCCGCATCTTTCACCTTGACTGAAAACAATGTTTCGACGTTCTTGCCATCAAGCAGGAGCGCATTGGTACGACACATTTCTTCCTCTGGCCAACCAGGTATGTTCCTACTGCAAGGCTCGAGGTGCATCTCACCATAGCATGCTGGATAGGGTTCCAACTCTCAACTACCAAACCAACTGCAGGAGATCTCCATACTCGAGAGCTCATTTACTGCTGAAGTAGATCTCCTTTCTATCCTCGTTTGTCATGTGGACCTGCGCTCCTCCCTGCGCAACGACCCGTGCTCCTGCCAGGGTCTATTTCACAGTCAATATCACCAGGTCACCTGCCTTAGATGTATCCACTTTATCTTCCGAAGGTAAGACCTTTGAGTAACATTGAGTTGTGAGATATGCTGAAAACTGCCGTCATCGAAGCCGTTTTCGCATTCTCGACGGCTGGTGCTCGAAAAAGCAAACCGTTAAGACGATTTTCGTGGATGTGATCATTCATTTCCTCGCTTCGAATCGCAAAGTGCGGCATCTGCATTCATGTCTTTCATACTCTAGGTTCCACTGACGCTCTTCGTCTTTCAGAAACTCTCTCAAATCTGCCCATGACACCAGTAAGCGCCATAATGATAAGTGACCCAACCTTGGCACCCACCTCGATCTCCGATTGGGTACAGTACTTGGCGAGCGGTTTCGGTAACCAGAGCTAATGGCGGATACCTCGCCCTCGACTTTGAATCATGATCTCGAAGGGCATACCTGTACCTTCGTATCTTTTATCGCATGATCTTAAGGGACCGAACAGGTTACAGGGTAAACTGGCTGAACTAAGCGTTTCTTTGGGGAAAGAGATCGATCACTTTATCAGCAGATAAACACAAGTTTATATATTGTAGAGTATAGGAATTTTCTGGAAGGAAGGAAAATCAGAGAATGAGATAGAACTAAATACGTGCCAGCGAGAATATTGGAGTTGCAATACACAGTATTCGACGAAGGCTTCTGACAAGCGTTATACATATTACACATAGCCAACACCAGGATATTACAGTCTTTATCGTGTCCAGTGTTTTCAAACCCAACTTGAATGTGACATCCCATCGTCAGATTCGTCACGGTCAACTGCCTGGACAGGGAGACTATCAATTAAACTCGTCATTGGCAGCTCTTCGTCAGATGTCATGCTTGCAAAACAAACATCTAGCATGCCTGCGCGACGTAAGTTATCCTCCGTCGGATGTTCCACATCTTGCAAAGCTTTGTGGACAGATGCTGAATGATAGCCCAACCATAAGAGTTGCAGTGCGCCTGCATTTGAGATGGGAGCCTGAGTGTTGCGGGATGCATGAAATGCTCTTGTCGTGTATAGAGCCAATCCCAACATGATCACCGACGCAGAGGTCGCAAACAGCAACTAGAATCAACTTCAACAAACTATCATTGCGTAGATAGTGTCGCGAACTTACAGGAAGAAGGGTGATCTATAACATATGTGCATCAGTCAAATGGAAAGAGGTTTTGTGCAATTAATACTGACATTCAGGCGTAGGGCAGTCACCTCTTCATAGGCAAGGGTCATCCCCTCGCCAGGTTGAATTCCTCCATTCATTCGCCCCGCTGAGTTGGTGACACAGTGTGAGTAATAATAGCCATGCATACTAGTATGATCCCTTACCCATCCAAGTGACTTGTGCAACTGTTTGCGCAATAGCGGCTTCTAGTTTATCCTGGCTCAGGGTGAAATTAGAAACGGGAACTTGGTCCCAGTTGGTGGACGATTGGATATATTGAGCTTCGAGATTCAATCCTACCAATGTCATTATAGACCTAAAATAAAAGACCATAGTTAAGGTATTGTAGTAGTATGATAGTAAAATTAAGGTCTGAACTCATCCACAATCGAGGGTTCGCTGGTATATCCGGATTGATCTATAAATGGATACCCGCTACTGCCTGCAATAGAAAAAATGTAACCAACCTGGTGTAGACAACGGATCATTGAACTTCGATGGCCACTAGAAACGGGTGGTGTTTAACGCACATTTGCTGACCAGTCGGTAGATGTCCACTGAAGCGTTTCCTCCCATTGCGTGGATGGCTGCAGGACAGGCATGGGATTCTCTAGAGTGTTGGTTTGCATGTCGACCACCACTATTGCATTGTTGGTTGACAGTGAGCATTGCATAAAATAGACTTCGATGGTTTGATTCACATCTGCAGAAAGGTTTGTGATGGTGGTTACATTCCAAAAGGCAAACGCACCTGGACATACCCAAATCGTCGGTACGGCAACCTCCTTTTGTACTGAAGGCTCAATCTCCAACAAGGTAGAGACCATTAACAAGACGGCAGGCTGTGAATATATGTCGGACTAATGTGGGACAGCCACTGATTAGTTTCAGAGTAAGCACTAAAAACCTTGACACAAACATTATTGCCCGGACCACCGTTATATGAAAGTACTTGTATCTGGTCTGTCCCTGTAGATATTTTTAAATATGATGGAATGACATTTCATACTATGTTCACGTACAGGGGGAAGATGCAGTCATGGTCATAATATTTCCATTGCCAAGCGGAACACTTGCTGTGTTGTCATTCCGAGAGTACGTGACATTTGGAAGTAATCCGCAACTCGAGGTTATCGTCGTTGCATTCACCGTTGCATGTCCGACTACAGAGCTCGTTTGCAGGGTGTCGTAGACTGTATTATTGGATATCCCTGCAGAGAGAAATCCAGGAAATCGACTGATAGCCGGTAAAGGTGCAGTGATAGCTACCGAGTTGTTCTCCGAGATGCTACTTGATATATCTACCCATCCTAGTGTTGTTGAAACATTGGTCGTCACAGAAGAATTAAATGTTTGAAATTGTAGGAGAGTGGAAGAGGTGACATGCAGCACAGAGATGCATACAAGGTAGGTTGTCACAGCAGTGGTCGCCCACAACGATGCAGGGATATGCAAGTTTGTTTCCAGACATTACTGAGTGCGGAACCAAGGCCTGCCCATGCGCTGGAGATGTCGTGTATGGTAGTTAACTTCAGACGGTGTACAAGCGCCCTTGACATCGCAAGCCGTTGGGTGAGGAAGACCAGGACAGCTGTGTAGAGCTAGACAAAGCTCGTCATTGGTGTATTAGTAAGAAAATAGCTGACACACCGTGTAAAATGCTTGTAGTGACGCACTCAGCACCACGGGCCAAAAATTAGTGTTCGTGGGCGTGAACGGGAGAGTCACATGGTGTTCCCAGCCATATATATAAGACACGATGAGCATGATATGTATCATGACCAACGCGCCATGCAACATGTAACATATGCGTGCAGAAAATGATCCACTTTCAGTTTCTGAGGGATTTTTCGAGCGAGTCATCCAGGACGCTGGGTAATTAAATAACGATGCAGTAGGTATTGACATACAGTAGCGATAGTTAACATACCGAACCAAGACCCTGATGGCTGCATTATGGGATGCTCGCCGTTCGGAGTTGAGGCCTGATGAAAATGACTAGTTTTCGAAGGGAAGAGGTGGCACTGATGTATCTGCGGCGAAGGTGAGCGAAGGAAACAAAGTAGAATCGTCCTGAGAATGACAAGTGACTTCAGATAGAAAGAGAAAGAGAAATTCTGTGTTTACATATCACTACAGACACAGGAAAGTGTGAAGATGGGGTGCCCTAAGGGCTGTGTTGATGTTGTGACGAATATAAGGTGTGGGCATAGTACAGCGCATATAATGAGGCAGCGGACGAGGAAGCGAAGAAAGCCGCGTCAGGAGACTCCTCAGAAGCGCACGAACTCCCCAAGTCACTCTTGACCAGAGACGGCGCAATCAGAATACTCCCGCAAAGCAAATCCGCTCTCAAACAGCATTTCTATGGCAGGATCAAAGACGAAGCCGTGAGCATCATGAAAGAATCACCCCGTTACACCCGGCTCAACTCCATCGATCACACGGCTCCGTCCAAGAAATTCGCAACAAAATCGCAGACCTACCAAGAAAGCACGGGACGCTACTCTTTCAACTACGCACCGGTCACATCGCCCTCAACAAACATCTCCACCGCATAGCTAGAGCGCCGTCAGCGACATGCCAGGAATGCCATGCCCACGAAGAAACTGTCCACCACATCCTGTTAGTATGCCCCAAATTCGCCAGACAACGCAACGCACTCAGCATGGAAGTAGGACCGCGCCAGCTCCACATCAAACTATCTAAGCGAAAGCAAAGGAATCAGAGCGACACTCAAATACATCGCGCGCACAAGAAGAATGGAACAGGCTTTCGGAGACGTCACCCCCCCAGAGGAGAAAGAATGAGGAAGAAGGAAAGAGGGAGCAGCTAGAGAAGAGGAGAAGCGCACGCAAAATGTAACACAATATTCCAACGCCTTGAGACGGCGTCACTGTCCCTGCTCATGCACGGACCATTGATTAGCACCGACACACCAGAGTCACGATATATTTTAGCAACGTACGATATTGTAGGTAGTGTCCACCATAGGGCCCCGCCCCACAGGACAATAAACAAGGATCCAAAAAAAAAAAAAAAAAAAAAGCGCATATAATCACTCATTCGACTCAATGCTCCTGTAACTGGCTCAAAACGTGAATGAACCGCTAATGGGTCTCGTGCCACACAAGCATAGCCACAGTATATCTGCGTGGCTACGCGTGGAAATGGCATGTCCTATTTTCACTGGGGCTCAGCGCTCAAGTGCTCAGGTCTCATGGTGATGCAGACGGCAAGGAATTAGCCAGCAGAAAAGGACCCACCGCGAGGACGGGGGGACCATAGATTGGGAGGCCAAACAGCTTCAAACTCGCTCCAAGTAATGCATATCGTACAATGCTTATACAACGGGAGGTACATAAATGGGATGGGTGAGCAAAATATGTGTGTTATCGAGACAAGTGATTCGAAGTGAGAATCGACAATGAGAAAGTAAACATATATGGCGTACCTAGCGAGACGAGTTTTGGGTGAGAAGAAGGCAAAGGGACCATTCTCACCGAGTCTCGCATAGATCATTGACTCCACTAAAGGAGGTGGTGACGAGGATTGCGTGAGACACAATCATCATGCCGCGCGACGCACGGGGACGTCAGCGCTTGCCTTCAGCCACAGGTGGCAAGGGACAGGCACCTCGGCAAAGAGGATATACGGGAAGACATGGGAAGACCCAGGAACGAGTCTACGCTCGTCCGATTACCCAGCAAAATAGTTAAATCGATAATTTGCCCTATTTCGTGATTAGATAAGATATATACACCGCAGACTGTAGAGATACGAGTGTCTTCCCATAACCTATTAAGAAAATCATAAGTCTTCTTCCTATCTATAGTGAGTCGAAATGACATGCATGCTTGATACGAGTAGCTCTGCTGATACCGTATTTTCATTGTTCTGTACTATATATTGCTATCCAAATCATTCTAATCTGTCCAGTTCTCTGATGCACCTGGTCACCAGCGCTTTGCGCGTGATGAATCAAATGTAGCGCCGCTGAGGGCATCAACCTGCTTGGATGTCGTGAAAGACGACTATCTTGCGAGCGCCCACCCTTGGCACCACTTCAAAGAGGTTCACATGGTCTCTGAGCCTGGTTTCTTTGTTATGGGAAACGTACCAGGCTGAAGGGCCAGCCTCTACAAAAGGGTCTCCCCTCAGTTCTAAAATAGGATCCTGGCCTTGGGAGGATGGATGTTTAGCTTAGGCTCCCGCGGAAGCTCTTGTAGTCTACTAGCTGTGCTCTCTTGTACTACCACTGCAGATTCCAGACTCGGAAGCTCTCATATGAGTCATATCTACACCCTCAATTCCCTCGGCATGCAACGCTATCCCCCACAGCCCTCGTTCACTGCCATACACGGCGCTGCACTGTACGTCACCCTCCACCTGCAGCTGTTCAAGTCCGTCCGAGTCGGTGTCAAGCCTCCTCATTGTATACTATAGCTAGCATCAATGGCACTTCTGTTCCATCTATGGTGTTTGAGCTTACTGAGCTTCTTATGTTTTTTAGACTGGCGCATGCTTCTTCTTGATCAATGGCCTTCGGACAATTCTTTTGGACTGGTGCATTCCCCTTCTCGATCAACAGCGTTTTAGCTTCAGACAGCTTTGGAGCAGTTTCATCAATATTCAAACCTTGTTTCTGGTCTTTTCATGTCCTCATGTCTCATGATCCTCGCAACAACAATTTTATTTAGCTTTGAACGGTTTTTTTTTCGGGCGATTTCGTTGGTGTTCTCGTCTCCTTGTGAGCTTTGCAAGCATCTCCGTCATTTACAAGCAAGATGAAAAATGAGATACAATGAAAGGTATACACAAAGCTGCTCGATGATCGGGTAAACGTGTAGATGAGTACTTCAATGAAGCGACAGGCGGAAAGGATGAATAACTAACCCCGCTACCACGGCCCAGTCCAGAGAGGGTTGAGCGAGAACTGAGAACTGAACCTTGAACGTATCAAGGTGCCAAGCTCCATAATCATGATCGTGAACCACATTATGCATGTCAGACTTCAGTGAATGATGTTGTGCTGTCAGCGAAGAGACTCGCTAATATACTCCACTGGGCTTTAATTTAGTGTATCGTGGGAATGAGACCCGGAGGCAGTGAATGACGGTTGAGCTGGACGTGGCATACACGTGTGCTGTAAGATATTGCACAAGCGTGGGGTGGGGAGTGGCGTCAACAATGTCCTAGAGAGTCACGAGTGAAAGCAGGCAAGAGAAAACATGAACGAGACGCACCCGAATTTTGTACTGGTCAGATAGGTCATCATCTGGCATTTGGAGATGAGGGGCGGACGGCTCACAGAAAAGTGCAATGCCGAGGACGTCAATGTTCTTAACCTTGAAGCCGGCAGCTTCAACTTTGGGGACGACCCAGCCAAGGGAGCAGAGTCGCGCGACGCGCATGATGTTCAAATGCTGACGCACCTACAAAACGCGCGGTCAAGTCGAAGCTGTATATTGATGGCATCAAATATGCATGAAATTGATTCATATAAACCTGGAACACGAAGATGCTTCTGGTTTGAGCAGGGAAGAATCACGGAGAGATCACGGAGAGAGGATGGATGTTTTACATGTGATATGTGTATGTTGAACAGACACTGACACATGACATGCTGCTTATGTGAGCGTAGATGGTGAAATAAAATATTCATTTCATGTCGACAATCATGACGGGAGCCGTAAACGGTCCTCAAATCCTATGATGCTCTGTGTGGCGTTCAGTCTGCATTCGAGCAACTTCACTGTTATCCCAGTAAAACAACATTTTGCTCCGGAGTCGCGTTCGGCCAAGCATGTTCAAATATAACCCCCACCCCAACCCGCTCCATCCGCTGCTCACCCTGCATCTTCTGCACGGCCATCACATACAACATGCATCCGAGATATCGTTTCCCCAATGTATCCTCATCATACAACCCTCCGACATCGTCTGTGCGAGACAGAACAATAAATTCACATGAAGTCGGTGAATGGGTGGAAGACGGAAGGATGACACGCCCTACTAACGTCGATGATCGAGGAATGTCGGATAGTATGGAATATGTGACGTAGTTCGCCTCGGGGTCAGCACCGACGACATCGTCCGCTTTCGTAACGTTGAAACGAGCTGAACGAGTCCTGAATACTAGCGTCCCAGGCCGCAGGGGCGCATTCTCTGTGATCAGAGTTTGTGCGTCGATATCGCCTTTCGGAATGACGTATGGACTGGAATTTGCTTCTTCAACAGATCTTGCCATCCGACCAGTACGTCGAACATCCAGGGGAACAAGCTGACCATTATCATCCACAATATACCACTTTTCCACCAGTGACTGGGTTATCCACGGAGAAACGCCCCCATTCTGTGCATCAACGAACAAGCTTACTTCGCTGTATTGGACAGCACCCCGCCACGCAGCCCACGACCAGGACGGCCACGGCGTCATATTTCCATCCCCAGGGATGCGCCGCATACAGGATGTATTAGCCGTTGGCTGCCACACTAACGCGAGTTCCAGGTCAATGAGGGGCATCCCGAACCGGAACGCTTGATCAGGGTAACCACCAGCCAACTTAAACCCCTTGGTCATAGCATTGATGAGCGCCGTAACAGCGTTCACGATGTCGGACTCCATGGTAAGCTTGCGTTGCGTATACTTTCCAATGATGCTCATATAGTGCACCATATATATATGGTCCGTCCACTGCGGTGGGGCACGCACGGACGTGAACCCACCTGCACCGCCGTACTTCAGGGGGTGTGAATCCCAGGGGATGTTGATGCGCTCTGCGATGACATCTTCGCTCCATACATCCTCTCCGCATTCAAAGTGCACGTGATAGGGTGTCAAGAAGATGCGGCGGCGCGAGAGCATGAGTTCTTGATATGTCCAGCCACGTGTGTCCCATGCGGAACTTGCTATGGCCTCACGGGGGAGGACCAGGGGGACGGCGAGGTGAAGGCCTTGGATTTTAGCTATTTGTTGTTTGGGATCCCTAGTCCCTGGGCGGATGCCCGGGAGAGGATCATGCGCGGAAGTGCCGCCCGCAGCGAAGATTGTGAACGCGGAGCTGCCGTAGATAAGCTCCATTACGCCGATTTGCACTGCCTTGTCCTTAGGGTCATCTTGCACGATACACAACGCGTCAATCCACAGGTATCGCTCGCCGAGCTGACGGACGAGTTGAATGGTGTCTAAGATCGTGCCTGGCAGCACTGATATGTCAAGGCCGCCTTGTGCTCTGCGCCGCTTGAGATTTGCCCGTGTCGTCCAATACTCTTCTCCCGTACCTCCCCATAGGTAGCTAAGAGCGACAAAACGGCAAGAGGGCGGAGCGTGAACCACAGCCATTCGAGTTACATCCACGACTCTTACGCTCTTCGGAAGAACATCTCCAGCGTCCCTCCACCATACTCTTTCACATAGCTCTCCATGTTCGTGTTCACAGATGTGGATCCATCTCTTCAACAGGGTGATATCAACATTCTGACCAACTCTCCTGCCATGAAGTTCTTCCGTCCTGCCAACCCTGAAAGCGTCTTCTCCCAGGAGCTGAATATCCAGCAAGAAGTTTGACTGCGCGGCGGCTATAGCGGCTGTAACATCCCGAGGTTTTTCAGACTGGATATACAGCCGATGACAGATATCCCTGAATACAGGAGAGACATAATCAGGAATGCGTGGATACCCGCACTCCCTCGCATACAGCGCACAGGTAATATCAGCAATGTCGATACCAGGCAGCTTATCCAAGTGCCACGCACGGCGGATGACAATAGCTACGAGGTTGCACAGTCCGCATTGGTTAGATTTGTCGAGGATGTCTGTGAGATGACCGAGGGGGATTGCGTGTTCTTTTTGGACGCCGTCATGTAAGATTGTGTGGAGATTGAGGGATGAGCATGTTGAGCAGAGGGGAGCGTCGTTTTCTGGTGGGATTTCTGGGGTATGATTGCTTAGAATAGGATGCAAGCTAGGGTTTTCCGTGCGGGTCTTTCGTCGGCGCCTGTGCAAGCAGAACATTGGAAGACTGAGTCCTAGTAAGGGGACGCTGCCTGTGCCTGTATTGTTATCATTCGATGATATAAATGTCTTCGCCAAGAGAAGTTACCCTGGATCCTCGAGGCAGACGCCACTCTCAGCGCACCGTCCATGCTCGTACATAGTACCTTCGGTAGCGTTTTAGCTAGAGATTAGTGGCCTTCCACAGGTAGTACTTGTATAGATCAATATTTGAAGAAAGTCATTACTTACATCACTATTAGGAGATTCGTAGCCTGCAAAGCCATAATGCGTGTCGCAGTTACTGCGGGCTTGTGCCGAAGATGATGGCCGTAGCCAAGCGGTGGCTGTGACGTATTCTCAACTTCGACGTGCTCTTCATTCTCTTTGAAAGTCCTTGTAAGCATCGCCTGTGCTTCACTGAGAGTAAAGAAACCTGAGGAGTTCACGATCTCAGCGCTCAGCGCTCAGCACATACGCATTACACTTGTACTTCTGTGAGTGCACAAAGGGCTTCGTTCATCCAACGCAATGCAACTCATGAAATGTACATGCACAGAGCTCAGTCTTGTCATATTTACTGAGCAGGTCAGTCTACTGTAGCTTTCATACAATCAGCGCGGTCATCAGCCTTAGAAGAGCATCCCCTCGGTCCCATCTGCTTCCTATAACATCAGTTTTCACTAATTACATCATGTCCATCAGGCCCTGCTGCAGCTTCAAAGCTCATAGCTATCTTGCACCTCATGTTATAAACTTCCATGTATGTCGACCATTCTCGTTGAATATAAATACTGAGACAGAACGCGATTCTCAGAACACCATCATATAACAAAATGACGATGACATCCCAACCACTTATCCCCCTACCCTCTCATGATCATACACGGCGACCCTCCCAAAGGCCAATTGCACAACCCCGACCAATTTCTCCACGCATAAACCCACTCGACGCAGCTGAGATCGACCGTTTTGCCACGTTGTTCTCCCCCGCAACGCCCCCAGCAACACCAATACCTGTCGTTCGCGATCAGCCCCCAACAACTCGCCCGCAGCAAACCAGAAATCGCGCGCCCAGTGTAGATTCCGATTTCGGTGCCTTCGTATCGGTGCCTGCTACTCAGGACCCGCTTTCATTTGACTTTCCAGTGATCGAACCTGTTGCCTTGAAGTCTCGAGGACCTGCCATCACTGGGAACGCAAGCTTGCACTACTTTGATCAGTTCACCTCCAGCGCGAAAACAGCTTCTGAGCAGAATAGACGGGTTGTCCTTGATGAGCTGCTGGAGCATGAAGATGATCCTTTGTATTTTCTTCGATCGCACAGTCAACCTCCATTATCCCCCCTATTGGAAACTCAACCAGACACCGGCTCAAACTAGTATCGATACACAATCACCGCCTTCGATACCACAAACTGGGATCTTAATTGACGCAGATATCAACCCTCCTTCTCCTCCCCCACACAAATTGCCTGTGCTCACTACGAGCATAAGCTCTCATTCTCCCGTGAATATACGTGCACCTCTTCCTCCCCGCCTCAGCGCAGCGGCCTCCCCCCCATCAGCACACATTCCTTCTACATCAACCTCGTTGCCATTCCCCTCTTCCACAGCCACGCCTCCAACACATGCCACGTTATCCCGTCTTTCCTCCACTTGGGTCTCAGCGTTCCTGCCATCTGCTCGATCTAGACAATCCACGGGATCTTCTACGTCAACCTTGGTAAATTCGGCGCCTAGTATCGTTCCTCACTCAACGTACATGCATGTACCGCATCAGACATCTGGCATCACGAGTGGCACCCCTTTCGGCACTCACCCTTATATTCCACCATCTGGTGCCCCTGGTTTCGCAGGCGATCGGACCTGGGACAAGGGCTTCTCAGACGCACTCCAGGACGAGGAAATGAGTGAAGTAAAGGGCGTATTGGGAAAGGGGAAGAAGACGCATGTTCTGAATCTTGTTGGAAGGAGAGAGGGCACGACAGTGGTGCTGAGCGAGACCATCGCAAATCTCGTCCGTAATCTTTTGTTTAGTGCGTGTAGCCGGTACTCACCCATACTCTTCCAGATTCGTCCCCACCTTCCAGCGCTCACTCGTCTTCCACGAACATGGACTCTGCTGTACTCGCTTGACCAGCACGGTATCTCGTTGAATACGCTGTATTCCAGATGTGAACCCAAGTTGCCGTCAACGCCCGGTGCCACAAAAGGGGCTCTTGTTGTAGTGAAAGATGCGAGAGATGCGATTTTTGGCGTTTGGATGGGGGATGGGTTGTGGTTGGAAAGAGGAGGGTACTACGGGAGTGGCGAGTCGTGAGTTCCCTCGCCTCGCCCTCTGAGTCGTCGGAGCTCATTTTCTCTGGCCAGCTTCCTTTGGAGATACCAACGTCCTTCAAGCAAAGAGGACGAGCCAGAAGAGGGGACGCTTGATGTGTACAAATGGACAGGGAGGAATGATTACGTTGCGCTCTGTGAGCCCGGGTTCATATCTTTTGGTGGCGGGTGAGTGTTCTTTCCCTGTTCATTTTCAGTATTCCTCTTAATCAATGACTAACTCGCTTTGATGCGCAGAGATGGACACTACGGTCTTTACCTTGATGCCTCCCTCCTCGACGGATCTTCCGCACCATGCCCTACATTTGATAACCCTGTTCTATGTTCTCGTGTGGATGCTGGCGGCATTGGCATTAAAAAGGATGTGAGCTTTGAGTGTGTAGGACTGGAGGTGTGGGGTGTAGGACCTTAATTACTGTCGTTTTGTGAGTTGATGGCTGAAATTGATATTCTCTTATTTCATCTGCGTTCGAAGGCAAATACCATAGTTTTTCTATTAGTTGATCTCTTTCTGTCGCTGATAGAGGACGAAGCATGCACGCTAAGTACAGCACAACGAAATCTACACCGTTCTCGCAGGAGTCCTTAATCTGAATCCTGATGCGCTTTCGAACCTTCCCACCCGATGTGATACTTCACGGAACCTAATCCCGCCGGATCCTTCCACAGGTGACAGTTGTATCGTTTGTTGCCCTACTAGACCATTGGATATTTTCTGATGAACAGTTTCATCAAACGCATGACATCTACAAGTTGTCGCGTAATATGATCATTCTGGCGGACTAATCTGAAATGTATCAGTTGCAGGGAAAACAATAAACGTGGATGAGATCTAGAGCTCATTGACTCATGACTTCCCGCCCGTGTTTGTTGAATTCCGATCGTTAGCACCGGCGAGGTTGGTCGACACGCTAGAAGCGCCGTCCGTCGTGGAGGAATTTTCAATCCACCATGAGACCGGCAGATTTGAACGCCTTGGACCAATTGCACATCACTGGAAGCGTATCCTTATCTGACAGCTCAGTAGGCATATGTCGGGTGTCATCGAGTTTCCTGTATTCTGATAAATCTTCAGCAGCAAGACGCTGTAGGGCACTGGAGCGGAATACTGCCTCACTACTACTTCAATTGGACGACGAGCAGGAAAGGATTCCTGGCAACTTGAAACTCCGCTACAAACACGCACGAGTCGGTTCATCGATATCTCCAATTGCAATTGGTCGACCGGTCAATGGTCAGTAAATATTTTTCAGTGTCACAGGGGACATATTGCGGTGAGAGTAAGCACTTGTATATGCATACGCTTACCAGGTGCTAAATTGAATTAAAAGAATACTATCCCAGAGCCTCATGTCACTGCTGTTCCGAACAACTTGAACCTCTCTGGGATCAGTGACAACAGTCCAGACAAGTTCCACAAGTTGCCGGGTTTGGCGGCGTGCTATCGTGCAATTATGTCAGCCATTCATGCATCCTGAATTTCTGAAAGACCTTTTGTCGATTTCCAATGTGAGTGACCGCTCTTCCGAATCGAAATTCGATTCCCACTGATGCCCTACATAACGCACGTATAGCGGCATAGCCAGCGGCTCGGTAGCTATTATGTCCACTTAGCACTACCGTGGCACTACGTCATGCGGACGCGAATCTTTGCTGTCAACATGGTCTATAAGTACGAATTTGCGACATATTGTGTTGCTGTGCATTGATGCTTTATCTGTTTCCTCACTATAGCAAACTCTGCTTCTTTCATGGCCTAAAGAGGTGTCCTTGTCAGAAATAAAGAATCTAACTCATAGGATGTGGCAGCATCAATAATATTGAACTCGGAGGCGTTCAACCTTGGGGCTGACACATTCTTGGTCTGTACAACTCCAAACGAGCCAAAAGCAACCAGGCTTTTTCAGCAAATATCAGCAAATACCCACGGCACTGTGATACATATATTTGACGGTCAGCCAGATCATCAATTGCGGGGTTCGGCACGAACACTTAGTAGTCTTCAAGAGCTCCAGCAACCCTGCGTGACGTATGTAGGTGACCGTTTCATTCCTAGCTAGCCCTAACTCAATTAGAAATATCTCCATCAAACAAAATGGTTGGTCATTGAGTATACTACAACTCTACGAGACGAAATCTAACTGGACCGTGTGGGCAGGACATGACTGTTATTTACCGACTCTCCCCGAACACAGTCACGGTAGTCCGGTATTCCGCGTGCGCTCCTAGGGCGCGAGTGTTTTTGTACCGCTTCCGCTACTTTCCAAAGAATAACTGATCAATCGATATGAAATTGGTCTGCGTATCGTAATATATAAGGCACACTGAACCACTGAGGTGATCCCTCAGACCCACCGTCTTCACTACCCCCCAACTATGGCACCCGACCATTCTGACATTGTGTCGATCTCGCCCTCAAAGGAGCATGTCGAGTGCAAAAAACTCGATCTCGACGTAGAATTCGGTGGTACAGAGGCACGAAACAAGCTGGAGCGCAAATTTTTGTGGAAACTGGACCTGTACATGTCGATGCTGGTTCTCATGAGTATCCTCAATCTTGTGAGTAACCTCGCGTCAAGGTGTCTGATCTATGTATGTATATCTCATTATTGTACTAGATAGATCGAAACACCGCTAGGTATGCCCTTGTCATGAATCGCTGATGTATCGTTCACAATGGATAAAGTGCAGCACGCTTACGAGGGCTCGTCACCGACCTTCATCTCGAGGGTCAACAGTTTGCGACGTTGTTGTCTATTTTCTATGTCGGATACATTATCACGCAGATCCCCTCCAACATGTTTCTCAATCACACTGGAAAGCCGTCGCTTTATCTGCCTGCTTGTATGGCGATCTGGGGAGTCATAACAGCGCTGACTGGGAATATTACAAAGTATGACCGATCAATGATGTCTGACCGATGACTGACCATAGTCCTCATAATAGTTTCGTCGGAGCACTCCTAACGCGATTCTTCCTCGGTTTCGTGGAAGCAGCATTTTTCCCCGGCGCCGTGTTCTTGATTTCGAAGTGGTTCGTCGACTATTGAGTATGTTGTAAGCGGATGCACTCAAATGCAATTTGCAGGTACAAGAGAGGCGAAATTGGCTCCAGATTGGCTATCCTCTATTGGTAAGGGCGCCACTATGCTGGTGGACATATCTGTTCATTGGCGGCACCGTTGCAGCGGAAACATGATCAGCAACGCCTTCGGAGCTCTCATTGCATCAGGTATTCTTGCTGATATGGACGGCGTCCGCGCGAAAGCCGCATGGAGGTGATTCAATCAAGCTGATTTGTCGAGGGACCCTGTTGAATTTCATTTATAAGGTGGCTTTTCTACATCGAAGGAGCTCTGACTGTTTTCGTTGCGATAATGGTTGTCTTTATTTTGCCGGATTTTCCGATGACGACAAAGTGGCTTACTGATGATGAACGCCGGCTTGCATTGAAGCGTATGGAGGAGGACGCTGGTGTAGGGGACCAGACAGAAACTGAGAACGGTGGCTTCGGTTACGGCCTTTTCCTCGCTATCACCGACTGGAAGGTGTGGTGGTTCGCAATACTAGCGGTTGCTCAGGTTGTAGCGATGTCCTTCATTGTCTACTTTCCTACTCTTACTACGACGCTTGGGTACAACCCAACTGCATCGCTGCTCCTCGTTGCGCCTCCTTGGGTATATGCTGTCATTTTCATATTCGTGTGGGCCAGGTAAGCTGGGATATCGAACGATCTAGAAACTGATGAAGAACTCCTCAGGCACTCTGATAAAACACAAGAGAGGTTCTTCCACATGAGTATTTCGAACCTCATTGGCATAATTGGGTCACTTATTTCAATATGTACCATGAACACTGCGGCCCGATACCTATCTTTGTAGGCACATGACCTTAATTTCGGACGTCTCGCTGATAGTGACTGCCCTTAACAGATTCTTCGTGGCGCAGTCCTGTTCGGCACATGTCTTGATGATCACATGGAACAATAACACATTTGCCCGACCGCCGTCAAAGCGCGCAGTGTGTGTTTCACTCATCAATGCATTTCAGCAACTTGGCAACATTTCAGGGTCGTGAGTGGTTTCATCGATCGATGTGATGGTAGAAATTCATTAACGAAATCGATGGCAGGTACGTCTGGCCAAGCAATTGGGGCCCTACCTATCGATACTCTTATGTCATTGTGATCGCCTGTAACGCTACTGTGATTATGATGACTTGGATTCTCAGACAGCATCTGAAGACGTTGAACAAGAAGCTAGAGAAAGAAGAGCAGAAGCAAGGGATCAAAGAAAAGGGATTCCGCTACGTTCTGTGAACGATGGCACAGTGATCTACGAGTTCTCGATCTTACAAACGACGTTCACGTAATAACAGGTGACGTTTATCTTTATTCGTGCTAGACGTATTTTACGATATCTCGAACTCAACATGAATTTTAGGGATTTTCTCCCCAAGTGTCGCCTTTGAGGAATTTATTATCTTTGTACACAAAAATACAAATGGTCAGAATAAGTCATGTGTGCATTCTGCCTCGTGGTTAACGACCATCAGTGCACACGCACCGAATGAAATGCTAATCAATCAACTAGGGAGTACATGAGGTGTAGTGGACGTCGCGAGATAATGCCTGAACAGACATGAATGTCGATACCAGTTGCGTTCTGTGGGAGCCTACGGATCCGTTGAAGATTAGCTTTAGTCTGAAGAGCCATGAGAAGATACGCTTGAAGTTCGTCTAAATGTTTGCCATTTGCCACTGTCTGAGATCTAGAGCGAACCCGCATAGTAAATTAACAAGAGATCTCAGGCTATACCGTAGGCCTTTGGTGATGGATGACGCCGTAATCTAAAATCTTATAATTGGTTGAACAACGAACGAAGAAAATACAATAGGTATGTGCCATCATTTATGCTGCATGTCAAGGAGCAGAACATTGCTGCCTGCCGGATGGCATAGAGTTATTGGAGGTGACGATCAGTTATCGCGCTCAGCACGAAATATCGCAAATACATAGTACCATTTAATGTCAGTATGTAGCTAACGTTCACGGAAGGTAGCGGAATCCCCGTTCTTTGATCCCTTTCTCCTGCTCTTCTTCCTCAAGCTTCCTGTTCAATGTCTTCAGATGCTGTCTGAAGACCCAACACATCGTAATCGAGATACTGCTAGCGGCGAGGCAAATGCCATACGAGTATCGATAAGTAGGGCCCCAATTCGATTGCCAGACGTACCTGCAATCAGTGTCGTTAATGAATTCCTACCGTCATGATTGATGAAACTACTCACGACCCTGCAATGCTGCCGAGTTGCTGAATTGAATTGATGAGCGAAAAACATACTGCACGCTTTGACGGCGGTCGAGGAAATGAGGGTACTGATCCATGCGACCAGTAACATAATCCCTGCATTGGATTGTTCCATGAGGAACCTGTTGACGGCTAACATCAGTGATAAGTCCAAAATTAAGATCATGTGATTACAGGGACAGGTACAGGGCCGCAGTGTTCATGGTGCACATTGCAATAATGAACCCAATCATACCAACGATGTATGAAGCGCTCATGTGGTAGAACCGTTCTTGCGTTCTGTCAGAGTGCCTGAGGAGTTCTTTGGGCCAATTCCTAGACGGTCCTACACAAAGCTTACCTGGACAACACGAATGCAACAATGGCGGCACAGACGAAAGGAGGCGCAACCAGGAGCAGCGTCACCGTTGGGTTGTACCCAAGCGTTGCAGTAAGAGTGGGGAAATAGATAGCGAAGGACGATGCCACTACCTGACTGGCCGCTGCTAATGCGATCCACCAGACCTTCCAGTCGGTGACAGCGAGGTAAAGGCCATGACAGCGGCCACCCTGCTCAGTTTCTGTCTCATCGCCAACACCAGCATCCTCCTCCATACGCTTCAATACAAGCCGACGCTCGTCATCAGAAAGCCACTTTGTGTTTATCGGAAAGTCTGGCAAAATAAAGACAGCGATTATCGCAACGAAAACAGTCAGAGCTCCTTCGATGTAGAAAAGCCACCTTAAAAAATGAGATTCAGACTGAATCCGGTACATCAACTCGAGTGAATCACCTCCATGCCGCATGTCTGAGGTTGTCGTTCATATCACTGAGAATGCCTGATGCAATGAGAGCGCCGAAGGCACTGCTAATGATGTTTCCGCTACAAAATCCCTGATAATGGATATATTTGTCCACCAGCAGAAGTAGAACTCATACCAAGAGAGGATGGTTAATCTGAGACCAATTTCGTCTCTCTTGTACCTGAAAATCAGATTTGAGGGCATCCGCTGATAACATACTCGATAGTCCACGAACCACTTCGAAATCAAGAATACAGCACCAGGGAAAAACGCTGCTTCTACAAAACCAAGAAAGAATCGTGTTAGGAGCACACCAGGTGACGCTAATATGAGGACAGTGGTCAGAAGTTCGTCAGACACCGATAATACATCATACTTTGCTGTAATCCCAGTCAGTGCCGATATAATCCCCCAGATTACCATACAGGCAGGCAAATAGAGCGATGGTTTTCCGATGTAATTGAGAAACATGTTGGAGGGGATCTGCATGATGATATATCCGACATAGAGAATAGACAACAGCGTCGCAAACTGTTTACGCTCGAGATGAAGGTCGGTGACGAGCCCTCGCGAGCGTGCCGCACTTTATCCGTCGTGAACAATGCGTCAGAAAATTATTAAAAGGGCATACCTAACATTATTTCGATCGATCTAGCACAAGAATGAGATATAAACCAAAAGCCTTGACCTGAAGTTACTCATAAAATTGAGGATGTAGATGAGAACCAGCATTGACATACGCAAGTCGAGTTTCCATAAGAGTCTGCGCTCCAGCTTGTTGCGTGCCTCTACGTTACTGAATTCTATGTTGAGATCGGGTTCTTCATGCTCCTTAAACGGCGAGAGCGACGCAGCGCCCGGATGGCCTGATGACATGGTGGTGTAAGGATATGATATCCTCTACACGCCGACCATGACTTCGAACGAACAAGGTGCAAGTCGCCCTCGTGTGTCATCAGTGCGAAGAGCCTTACTCTTCGCATCCGATGCACGCACACTACGAAGCCTCTATTATTAGGCTTGGTTGCGGTAAGACCTTAGCTATTTGGTGTATGCTACTCATAAGCACAGCTCAAACTCCCCCATAGGTTTGTCCGAATTTTTCAGGCCAAAATGTGGTCAAATCTCCGTCCGGACTTAGCATTTGCTGCTTTCAGAAGGTCGATCGATGACTCTGTCCGAAGTTGGCATTTGTGGCCCGTGGGGTAGTTCAGATGAACTTTCTACCACGCAGGGAAAAGACCGTTCAACTCGAGCCAAGTCAGTACCCACCTCATCGATCATCCTCGCCGAAGTACTACAGCTCGTTGGAATGCCCTTGCACGTCCCTCGGTGATATGAGTCATACTGAAGCTTCCAGTGGTGGGCCGGTGGCAAAAGGATTGCCTAAGAGTCCAGTTAGAAGTTAGGTGATATTCCCAACTATTAACATACTTCCATACTTGTCTATGTACACCAATTTTGCACAGTGTGGGTTGGTACGAGCTCAGGCTGCTGCACGACCCGAAAATGTCACACTTTGGCGAAGGTCACGCGCATGTCACACCACGTGACCATTGACCTCTCGCGCAACGTTGCGCCCATGACTAATTTTCCAAATTCCCCAAGTCTAGTTTGTGTATGGATACACTACAAGGCACAGATCGCGTCTATGTAGGTAGACAGCTTATCCACGTCCAGATAGGGTCTGGTCATTTTCTCGTTTCCGCAGTGAGTGCTCAAGATATAGCAGAGCGTCCTCGAACCTCTCCAGCTGCGGTGGGTAGGAGCCTGCCATCCAGCAAGCTTGCCTACAATTTTCCATCCATCCGGAAGGATGTGAACAGGGTTATCCGCGACAATCCTACTCTACTGCTCCTCGACACACCTCTGTGACTAGATGAAGGCTCCCTTTCTCAAACCTCTCCGGTGGCTTCGATTCAGATTGCGCGAGTGTCCGCCCATGACGTTTGTTGTCGATGCCCTTGATAAATGCACATCCGAATCCGAGCTTACCGATCTTATAATTTCCCTTGCACGGGCTCTTCGTGAGCCTGATCTACCCGTGACACACATTCTACTCACGAGTGGCTCGGAATCACATATCCGCAAAGCCTTTCAGGACAAGGAGGTGCGGCCGTTGCTGTGCGAAATACCTCTAGGTAGGGCATTGCTACTATCATCTCGCTCGACGGTACCGATGTTGACAATGACATCTATATTTTCTTGCAGCATTCCTTTGCAGAGCTGGCAAGTCGCCATACTGATTTCCCTCAGCCATCGAAGGATGATCTTGCAAAGTTGGCGAGCCGAGCGGACAGACATTTCATCGTGGCGTCTACAATGATGAAATTCATTGTCGACGATGATCCCCGCGATCGGTTACAGTTGATGCTGAAGCTAACGAGCGAGCTGCTACCAGGAACGGAGGTGTACAAGCTATACGATTGTATCCTCTCCACGTGTGTTGACCCCAAGCGGGCTTACATGCACTTGCCCATCGTCACCGCGCTCGCAGACCCTCTTCCCATCTCGCAGATCTCATCATTTCTTGGCCCTGGTTTGGGCAGGGATGTGGATATCGCACCAGCCCACTCCCTACTCACACATTCGTCTCTCCGCTTGACGGCGGAATTTACGGAACGCATGGCCTTTTTGGATATATCTTTGGGCCGGGTGGGCATTCTTTCCCATTTTATCCTTCAGCCAATGGCTCGATTACCGCGCAGAAATGGGCGGTGCGTTATTTAGCTTGATGCATTTCTCCTCTTTACGGTAGCCTGCACATGAATCGATGTTCTGTCGTCTCAGCCGGGTTGAAAGAAGACCATATTATGAGAAAATTTCAGTGTGCCTCCATCGATCTCTTTGCTTCCTTCGCTCTCAATCTTTCCCAAGTCATATCATATCAGGCGATCACCGCACCACTGCTAATTTTGGTCTGATCTTGCGCAGCATTTCACATTAGACGCCTCTAGATCATTGATTATTCGGCACAGCTCCATACTATATCCACAAAGAATCTGATTCGTCACTAACGATCATCAGATAGTGCACGACCACGAGAGAACCATTCCCTGTGTCAGACCCCGAGGTCGACGGTGATCAAACGGATGGTCGATTCCATCTTTTTGCGGGCTTCAACGAGCTTCCCGAGATGAATTACTGGGAAACAAGTGATGGTTTCGTGGCTATGATGATAGTGGAACACTGCAATAATATCATTAGCCAGACACGTACGTGACTGTCCCACTGCCTCTGCGATTAATAGCGTGATTTAAGACAGGACACGATATCAGGTGCAATGTTTTCATTGATGAACTGCGCGGCTGTTGCTTGTTTAAGAGCCCACGAGACAAGAAGTGTCTGACCCGATTAAAATTTGATCTTTCTTGAAATGCCATGCTCTTGACGCACTTGTTCCCGTGAACATCCCCCGTCCATTTGTTGTCATCAAGGATGGATAAAAGGATCACAGTGGTCTCTTAGTTTCATCGTGTTTGTACAAGTCAACCGCCACATCGTATCCTGCACTCATAACGGTGCGCTGCCCTTGCATCCTGTGGCTCAAATTTGTCTAACAACCTCCCGGCACATTTTCCTTGGCCATAGAAGATGGCACGGAAACTCATCTCATTCTCAGCCTTTGCTATCCTTCTGATGTCATTTGCTGAAATCTCCGAAGCAGGTGGTCATGTGCATCATTCATGTCGAAGATGGACTGGTGAAGTATCGCGATCCGTTTCTAGGCGGGCCAGTGGCGTGCCTTACAGATATTTCTCAACCAATGTTTGTGGTTAATAATGCGATATACACATTGCAAAATCTGCTTGGCGACGGTGAGGGTGGTGTGTCCAAGTTTTCATCTACTAGCTTCTCACCTTTTGACTTGCAGAACTCGCCCTTCTGGCAAAAGATATATCAATGTTACGTCGTTTAGCAATCTGTCTGGATTATAATCCTACCATGCATGATGCGGTGCGGCGTTGCAAGTTCGGTTGCAATCACATTCAGAAAGTCATGCTAATGTTGTCTCGAAGTGTTTGGTGTTTGTTCGGTCTACGGCTTTTCGCAAACGTCAGTTACTATTAGCGATGTCGAACTTTTATTTACTCACAACATTGGATCGCGACGTTCATTGCCTTCACAGCATAGAGGCAGAATGATATCTGAATGATATCTCTCGTTAATGGTAGGCTCATAACCAGCCTGGCTTATACAACGGGAATCGCGAGTTGTGAGTTTACTCATTTGAACGCTGGATCCTGAGAGCGCTTATGTGTAACATCTTTTTCTGGTCCATTTCCTCTAGATATACCACTGTCCATCGAGACAGGGGAGGAGAGGATACAATGTATTGTATGTAGAAATGGACAGATGTAGGAACGACTACTTAGTCCGGTTTCGTTCTTTTTGTCCAGGTGAGCGTCCTTTTACGTTTTATCCTCCGTTCCTTGTAGGGAGTCGATATGGTTACTGCGGTCTTTACCTCGATACCTCCCTCGGCGATTTTCCTCTTCGCGACATTTTGTGAGTTCAGCACTCCACGAAAGAATCTATGTTCTGTCGTTTCATGAGCTTCACGAATTGGAGAGGACTGCAAAAAGGCCATCCCTTTTGTGACAGAAGCTGCGTCGGTGTGGCCCCCAATCGATATTTTTGCTTCTTATGCTCGGCACTGGACGCCATGGCATTAAGTCCGTTGTCCGGCACGACTTCGATTTCATTCTAAATTCGTCAATATTTGTTGGAACATTCTTTTCGTTGCACCCTGATCTTCCCAGGGCGGGCGGTAATGAAATGGATGACTCTTAACTGGGTATATTTGTGACCGCTCCAACGCCTCTGCGCAGTTAACGTTCCTAAACAGGTTTGGTGTACCACATGATTATTGTTCTACATAGAAAGTGCTACGCAGTCTGTGGGCTGACATATGAAAGCCTATTCTGATTCCCACTCCAGTGTACAACGTGTCCATCATTCTTCTGGTGTCAAGGCTCGGTGTTGTGGATAAAAGGACGAAGAACGTCTATTTATTGTGCGCTAAACACACTATCACATCCTGTCCTTCACTGCAATATCGCTTTTACGGTGCGCTGCTCTGTCATTCTGTGGCTGTTATTTTCTAACTACATCCTAGCCTATCATTTCATAGCCTACGGGGGTCATAAGAAATGGTGCCGAAACTCATCTCGTTCCCAGCCTATGCTATCTTTCTGATCGCTTGCGGTTGGTATCTGACTATCATCTGCATCTCCACTTGATCGAATATTTACTCAGTATCGCTTCTTGCGCGTGCAAGCCCAATGCCCCACGCTATGCCTTCAGAAAGCGAGAATCTTATTCTACTCCGAGATGAGGCGAGTGAACATTTTCTTATTTATGCGTTGTTTAACAACAAAACGTGCAGCCTGAGTCAGATTACGTCATTGGCTTAGGTATTTATTAGCTATACTATGACCGTCTTTGCTTGCCGGTTTTTGTTTTCAAGTCCTCCTTGTTTCTGCTTGTCCTGCAACTCTTGATACCATATCGAATACTGGCGCACGTGGCCTTCATTCGAACAATCGAACTTTCACAATACTTAGCTGCGTGTTCCAGGCGTGTTCTGTACCAAGGATGTTCTCCAGCTATGAGATCTGAGACCTGAACGTTGAACTGTGAATGCATAACACCGCTCAGTTCACAGCTGAAATTGGAAATCCAAGACGGGCAAGCCTTATATCAGAGGTTTGCCCACGCCTGCCCACGCTTAGATCAAACCTTAGGTCTTAGGTTCAAATTGTGGCTGATTAGAGGGAACTCCCTATTATGTAAAGTTTACGTACAGCGTCTGTTGGCAAGTCAATCGACTATCATGACTAGTGCTACTATGTCTTCCTTCTAGAAGTTCTAAGGAGACTAACTACTTGCGTACTTGGGCGCAGATTGGACCATGTGCAAGTGGTAGTACCAAAGACTCGGGCGAATGATTTTTCAGACGTTGTAGTATGATTAACCACTGCAAGACCTTCGACTTTTCAAACGCAGCTTAAGCGGTATCTCCAAAAGGACACCAGTGCAGTACTAGGGTTCGCTGATCATTGATATTGATCATCCATCATCGACATCATCGAGCGTGTGCAGCCTGGTGATCCAACTCATTAACATTGATGATAATCTAACTTTGCAACAGCCATTCCACGATTTTGTAGGTCCGCAACCTATGTCCGGGCCCACGGGCCTGGACTCGGAGGTGACTCGATTTCATCATGATACGGCAACAAATGCTGTGGTCAATCACAATCGATACCATCCCCATTTTAGCGATAACAGTGCTAGAATGATGCTATATCTACACCAACGCCATCGTTATATCGCCACCAAGCTTGTCACTCACTGACACCGATCCCTTGAATATGACTGTGATCTCAGATGATCCCAGTCTGTGGCCGCTAATAAATTTCTATCTTGTTCTCAGCTATTTTATAGGTTTGTGGACAACAAGTCAGATAACGTTGGTGATATGTCACTCAATATTTGATGTGGGTTCACAGTTGCAGCGTCTACTGTGGTTGTATACGATTGGGGTAAAGTAGGATAATACTTTTCATGAAAATTATTGATGCCCTCATGGTATTCTGTAGCACTGTCGTTCGGACAAGAGGTGAGTTGATGCTATTATCGCAGTACCCATCTCACTAAGGCTGATTTCATAGTTTGAGCTGGTCTGGGTGAGCAGAGTCCCTATCAGAAGAATCGCAGAGTAGATGAAATAATTTTGAGCAGAAGCAACGCTGGTCACTCATGACCATCTTGTACCTCAGTGTGAGTTTTTTGTGTTACCAGTGCATTTGAAAGTTGCACTGACAATTATTTTAGTTGCGCACCGCCGAAATACTATTCATTGTGTATGTTCGCTAGCCAACACGTTGGCAGTATGCTAACAAGCCATCTTTGACGACCAGCGTATCCTTACTGTGTACGTATCCTCATATACTGATCGTTATTCTGACCGGAAGCATGTAGCGAGTCTCCCCTCTATCTCGGTGACAGATGCAGTGAGTATTCTGCACCGATACTTACCATTCACAACTAACAACACTCCTATGTAGGGGTGAGATTCTCGACCCCATTCTTGAATTAATTTACCAAATGAAATAGCTGTGAGTTCGTTTAAAGCGTCGAGTCTTCATATACTCATCAGCGACCTGTTCTTCAGGCACTACTTTGGCTCTTTCAGTAACATGGCTCTCTTTCATCATAAATACCATCCTGGACGGTGAGCTACTTCCCTGCAGCATTGACTTGACTGAAATATCATGCAAGTCATCATTATCGCTCGTTTACATGCCATGTATCAGCAATCCGGAAAGATGCTCGTGTTTCTCGTTGCAATCTTCCTGGCTATTACGATCGCTTGCGGTATAATCGGTGTGATGCTAGAACGCAACCATTATTCATATGGTACGCTTTCCTTATGGATGACAGACTCGAGATCATCCCAGGCTTATGGAATACCAGAGGAATACATTCTTTCCGGCACCTATCAATGTGTCGCTAATAATGTGGGAAATGACAAGCTTCTGATCGCCGCGACTTGGATATTCGGCTCTGTATGGGAGGTCCTTGCGCTATGTCTTGCAATCTGGATTGCTGCCAAACGCTCCCGTGAACTCCGACAATGGAAAATCGAGGACCGCTTCTTGGCGCTGATGAAAACACAAGTGCTGTACTTTGCAGCGTGAGTATGAAATTTGAATGTGATGTTCTTCTCCTCTAATTTAAAGTTTGTATGCGCTAGCTTTATTGCTACTACTTGCTTGAACCTCGGCTCTATCCTCTCTCCAACGATATTGGTACGCAAATCAGTGGCTGACATTTGCATCCTACCACTCATCATTCCTATAGACTTCGACTGTGAGGTCTGAGGTTTATTTTGGGGCTAGTACCATTCTCCAGTTCGTCCAGATGTTTATGCTGGGACCACGCCTTATCCTCAGCGTTCGAGAATATAATGCTAAGCTTGTGGCCAACCCCGAGGCAGACATCGGCCTACAATTGCTTTCCAGGAGTGGGCCCATGACAAGTCAGGTGGCAGTGGTGTATGGCTCAGGGAGAGATCAGCGTGTGTTGGGTACCCCGCAGGGGAGGTGAGGGTTTTATCGCTGTATTGATGAATTAATTGGTGTTCCGAAGTGAAATCGACTAATGGGAAAACCAATATCATGATCAATGTTATAGTAGCTGCCTACCCCACTTGTACTTTAACTTATGGGCTCCTTTACAGTATAACTCACACTACACACGCACACATAGTCATTTCATCTTTGTAGGGTGGCGCGTCTAAAACGGCCGGCGGGAACGGCGGACTGGTGGGGTACGCCTCACACCAGGGCATTCGCGAACCCTGAGGTGCAGCGGGGCACAGGGCCCCTAGACTAGATAGAATTGTCCTACACAGAGTAACTAACTACTCTCAATGGACAAAAATGAATACAAAAACAAAAAACTTATGAGCGCTAGCTTTGAGGGAATTTTACATGCAATTACATAAGTTCAAGTCGGAGTCATGCTGAACTTGACTTTCGCTTGAGTCGCCACCGCCTTGACTCGGAGGACTCATTCTATTCAAGGGTTATAGATGACCCAACTTCTTGGAGGCTCGGAATACGCAAGAGGAGGGAATTCAGTAAGTGACGCAGATGGCCATCATGGACTGCCCAATACTCTTCGGTGTGGGCGGGAGGCTGCGGCCACCCCAGACAAAACTTACCAATAAGTGATCAAAGAAAGATCGACATTTCCCCGCAATGACTACTACCACATATAAGCGCACATTCATCACCATCCAAACATCGACTAGTACATGACAGGCATCGGTTTCCCTGCACCGTCGCCGCCCCCAATCTGACGATCCGGTGGTTGGCACAGACGTTATCATCCACCTTCTCCGTCCCAACGCCCGTTGCTTACCCTCACTACGAAGAAAGTAAGATGAAGTGGACCAGACTGGAGACTCCGTCACACAATCTAACGCACATCCTGAACACTTCTTCTCACTGGCCATTTCTTCCGATCGCTCTATAAATTCTCCACCACGTCAATTGACGCAACGACGGCTTTGACCTCACCACATTCTAACCAATTGGCGAGCCCTCGAACCCCCCGAGGTCATCAACTCCATGGCGATTTCTGGGAGCCCCCAGCTTATCGCGATTAGCTGTGATAGTATCTTCACATATGGACAGTTCCTTCAAGATAGCGAGTCGGAAAAGGAATCTAAACCGGTGAACAAATTCCCTAGTCAGGCCATGCTACATGCTCGTTGCTGATCCATCACATCTGGACAGCCTCAACACAAGGTCACTTTATCTACCTCTCACGTTCACCCGCGTGTATAGTGTGTTAATTTCTAGTGGTGTACAGATTTGCCATCACGCTGACCCATTCATACACTTTCATACTCCTCTTTTGATGTCACCATCCCTAAAATCTTCAGTCCAGCATGAGACTGTTCCACGCTTACAATCGAGACCGACACGCCTGCAGGTTATTTGTGATGTAAGTCATTACTTCAGATCATTTCAGTGCATGATTGAGCGCCTTTCCAGCGAAACGTCTTGTCCATCCCGCCGCTCTAATGGATCCGCATACGGAGGTTCACAGCATCCTCCGCCACATTCCCCAGGACCTCGTCGATCGTCTCCCATTTCGTCGTTAGTCACAACGACCATAGCCCGAGGAAGACCATTGGGCCGTTCGAATGGAGTCACGCAGTCGTACCTTTTTTCCGTATGCCAAGACCCACAAATGGGCTGGCTACCAGTGGTTGAAGTCATCGCCGATGTAACCTCACTTTCTCACCTCTCGTTGCCGTCTTGCCAAGTTGACGGCTACAACGGCTTGCTGCCTATTTGTTAGAGCACAGGAAAGTCAATGACATCTGACGTCCGGAGCCTGCCGTGTCGCACAGAACGACACATTATTCGAGGTGTCTGATATAGATTCGCTCGTGGCTATTTGCTAGAGCACAGGAAAGTCAATGACACCTGACGTCCGGAGCCTGACATGTTGCAGTGCATGGTCCCAAGCGACACATTATCCGAGGCGTCTGACATCGATTCGCTCCCAGGCGCGCATTGGCGCAGAGCGTTCTTCTGCTACTCACATAATGCTGGACTCACGGAAGATTGCGGTGGCGCTTAGAGTATATCAATCAACACTGCCATGGTTATACGACACATAGCATTCGTGCTGGGTTCACGGTTGCAGTTCACTCAATCGCATTCATCTATGTTTAGTAAAATCATTCTGCTGCAATCGCGTCGCTCGGAAACTTACGAGTTTGCTCATGTGAACGAGGTTGTGCAATTTCAAATGCTAAAGAGTCGATGATAATCTACGCAGTTGTCCGAAGAGTCCGTAGAGCAAATCACGGAATAAATGACACCAGACTGAGCCACTGTCTAGAAGATCAAACAATAAGTGATATCATCCAAAGTACACGCATCGCAATGACTGTTATCAAATAACTCAGCTGAGCCTCGGGATCCCCTTCTGGACCACAAATGAATGGCTTGGCATCCAAATATTCACCGGTCACCTCGGGGCGCTGCAGTATCGGCCCTCATCGAAGTAGACATTCGACCAGTAAAAGAAATCTCGACAGTCAATGCGTTAGACCTTGCACTGGCTGTATCCGATCGGGCCCCTCATCAGCATGAACTTGCATGAACCGACGAGCTCGATGATTCGTCACATCATGCTACAGTATGATTAGCCGTCAAGGTCGTTAGCATCTTCTGACGGGCAGTGAGATGGCCCACCATTTTCTGCCCCCATGATGTGAAATATAGTGACCGCAAAGCTATCTGACAGATCTGCCTCTCATTCCCAGCGATTTGGTAACTACAGCGGCGAGTGTTGTTCTCGCCGAGATTTGTTGATGGATCGGTACCGGTGAGCGTTGTCCAGTCTATCATGTAAGATTAATCTACTAGATGTCCGACATCAGCTGCGTGCTTCCAAATATTACTGCGCCGCATCAAATTCGCTCAAGGCAGCCTGAATTCTTTTTATACAGTGTCGGTATAGATCTCAATTAGTATCTCACCTCCTGCGATGGATTAGTACTTAGTACTGGCTAAGGTAAGTAGTGGTCACTTATGCGAAGTACCTGGATCCGCACAGCATTAATCATGTATCGGGCAGGTGGAAGTTCCTCCCGTGCCCGTTTTGTGCAGCTGCGTCCTAGAGGTTCCAATGATCCTCAAGTCGCACAGCAATTACTATGCCTGTCTTGCATCACTACCAGCTGTCACTAGTTATCTTCCTGTGTCTAGTAAAATGTTTCCGCTGATTTACAAACCCAGGAGAAGGCAGAAAACTCCTGGTGCTGCTCCTACAGGCAGTTTGCTCGATCTGTTCCTCCAAGGCAGTGATCGTTGGTGTCAGGTGAGTTCCTGGATTGCGATAGCGACTGGCGCTGGAAGGCGCATAGTAGGATGACAATCACTGGGCTCATTGTTCAGACTCACAGCCATCTTATCTACGAGACCTGGTTGCACTCACACTTGGAGCTTCCCATGGCTCTCGTGCGAGCGCTCTCACTAGAAATCGGCTCAAACAAGTAACATTGAGTTCCTGTAGACTATTTCAGAACGAGCGCTGAACTGACCATGGATGGCCATGTTTTCTGAGATGAGAATTTTGGATAACGCCTCAAGAACAGCTTCTTGGCAAGGAGATCAATAAGAGTCACAGTCTTATTGCGTCCCCTGATGCTTCCGAACGAGTCAAAAGACGTACTAATAAATCTACACAGAAGCTCCCTTCATATATATTCCTAGGTGCACTCTGCCTCATTGAAGAAACTCGACTTTACTCATGCGCGATACAAAGAGTGAGTTCGATGGAGGCTCTCAATGACTTATGCTCACTATTTTATCAGAGATCCGATTGTTCTTACTACTGCTCCCATTTCTTAATGGAGCGTACGCCAGCAACATCAATATTACCGACTGCTTCATGAAATTCATGAATAATGCGAACCAGACCCTCAATGCATCTGGATTGGTCAATGTCAATGGCGGAAATGTGCCGTCGTCAGACATCATGAACGCAGTTGGATTCACGTACGAGACCTGTCTCTCGCAGTGCGGCTCGGGAACACAGAATCCCACCTGGGCAAACATATCACAACAATTCGGCGCCTGGCTATTACCCTACCTTGCGCTCATTTCTCAGCTGCCTTTCGGTGCAAGACATAGAGTTGACAATCTCATGTCTGCCATCCTCATAGTCGGTTCACCGGTTCTCGCTGGTTACTCGATGATTCTCACCATTCTCAACGCCAACTGGATCAGTCGTCGATTCGATGACCTACGCTTCCCCAACACCAAATCCGCCGTCCGTATCCTTATAAGCCTTCAACAAAGTCCACTGCGAATATCAAATGAAGACTCACTACTCAGCTCTCTCGTTGTTCTACCAGACAATGATGAATGGTGGCCGACCACTGCCGATTTTCTCGACTATACCCATACCTGGTCTATCGCATCTGTGACAACAATTGCGTGGGTCGTTGTTGCGTACCTACTGACTGTCGCCAGCTCGCTTTCAGATGTCTCGTCCAATATCAATTCCAACGGTCAAGGGACAGGATCGGTGTGGTTGTGGCTTATCCCAATTGTTATAGGTTGGCTGCAACTGTCCCCAAAGTGCGATTACACACGCGTTAGAAAGGCCATGGACAACGCGGATGCAACGGCATTTGTAGCCACTGATGACTCGGATGGAGTTGTAAAGGCATCAGATCTTTCCGAAAAGCGAGCAGTATCCATTGATACCGATATGGAAAATCCTTCATCTCCCGACGAAATGCTGACTCCGCCCGTCTACAACTATGCCAGGGCCATTTCATGGTCTCGGTCGGCGGAGGACGTCTTCAATGCTTTTCGAATAGCCTCCAACAATGCCAAAGACCACAAACCGGTGACCGGTACTACCTGGAAGAATTCGAATAAGAAGAATTTTGTTGAGCCCAGCAATAGGAAAGGAAACGTGTCCGAAGTCAATGCTTACTGCAAACTTCCTCGATACACAAGAAGGAGCCCCTGGGCGACAGGGATGTTCTTTCGTATGTTCGTGGCCTCGCTGCTGCCCCTAGCTTTGCAATGGGCAACAACTGGAGCCGCGGTACTAGTTGTGTATTTTACTCCGACTACGGTGAGCATCATTTGATATGCAGTTACCTGCGCCTGTCGCTGATTAGCGGCACACGATAGGGCCTTGGTTGTAGATCTCTCGGTTACCTCATCTATGGCGCACTTGCAACGATAATATGGGCGATGCTTGTTATGTCGAGCATCTTGTCGCACTACGCATCCTCATACTCGGACAGACCCAGGAGTCCGTTCTCATCCATCACCATCCGTCTCGTGAAGGCAGCATCAAACCTTTTGAGATGGGGAGGGAAATTGGTGGCAATCGTCAATGCAATCTGGATAATCGCGGCAGGGATGCTGCAGTTTACGAGTGTCTATGATAATTGTTACTGCAACTCAAGTGTGTTGGGGAGAGGGGCCCAATATGCATATGATGTTATCCTGTTCGATAGTTTAGATTTGAGTCAAACCAAAGCTGCTTGGTTCGGAGCTTTGGCTTTGGCTGGGACTACCTCTTTGGGATTCATTTTTTACATGAGTTTATTAACCGATCTTGTACCTATATGAGGTCTCCGACGATCATATGTAACTTTATACCTCACTTCTGAGATAGAGTGGACGTTCCTCTTGGCATAGTTGTATCGTAATTTGTACCTGTGTCTTTACGCAGCTTGCGTCCTTAATATTGTTATCTCTTGTCATTTCAGGCTGTGGTGATACTGCGCTCGCCGAAGTCACCGAACAAAGTGACACACCTCAGGCTCTAGATCTGATGGGCGGATGCTTCACAGCACCCAAAATTTTGGAAGAGACGGCCGTTTCCAGTAAGCCAAACCCCGTTTCCAGTAAGCCAAACCAATATATATACTAGGACCAATCGACATGCATAGTCGATACAACTAGCTCATTTGATGCGCTTGCACAAAGGCTCTCAGGGAGGTAAGCGCAATGACTGGACTACAGGTTTCCGGTTTTCTGATTTATTACTTGGGCTTAGCTCTCTTACTACTGGTGCATGCTTCCGGAACAGTCGTTGCGACAACTAACTTCACTCAGTGTCTGAGCGATATCATTCAGAATGCAAGTGCTCAAAATTTGACCGGATTACTCAACGGCAACGGAGACCCCGCATCGAATATCTCCGATGCGACATCGATCAGCTACTCGATGTGCACATCCCGCTGCGGGACTGGACAGGAACCTTTCCAGTGGTCTGAATTTTCGCAAGAATTCAGTGCTTGGCTGTTGCCAAATCTTGCACTGATTTCGCAGCTCCCCTTTGGGGCACAGTACAGACTTGATAATCTCATGTCCGCTATCTTGACTGTTGGGTCACCGACACTTGCTGGTTACTCTCTATTCATCACCCTCCTCAACTCTCGCTGGATCAAACGACGGTTTGATCACTTAGTAGACTATCCTAATTCACGTTTCGTGCTCTCTATCTTGAGCAGCCTTCAGCAAGTCCCTCTCAGACTGCATCCTGATCGCATACGCTTACCCTCTCTCGTTATCCTTCCGGAAAACGACGACTCCTGGTGGAAATGTTTCGCTGAATTCGTGGACTACACCCATACATGGTCAATCGCGTCCGCAACCTCCATTGCATGGGTCGTTGTCGCCTATATCCTGACTGTAGCCAATTCACTATCGAACGTTTACACGAACGTCCAATCCAGTGGAGAGGCCACTGGCTCAATGTGGTTGTGGTTGATTCCAATAGTCGTCGGGTGGCTGCGACTCTCCCCGAAATGCGACTTCAATCGCTTACAAGCTGCTTATGACCGTGCAGACAGACACAGTATGCACACAGGAACAGCAGACAGTGATGCCGCGATGTTTCCCGCGTCATCCCGGAGAGCGTTGGCAATAACTGCTAAGGATGATGATGTGATGTCTCCAGACGAGCTCCTCACCCCTCCGGTGTTTAATTACTCGCGTTCGCTGCGATGGGCATCTACAGCAAATACTATCTTCATGGTGTTCAAAGTGGCATCAGAGAAGCCTCATATCCATCTTCCCGTTTGTGGGAGTGATTGGGTCGAATCTAGCATTGACATCGAGTCCGACACTACCGAGGACAACGAAATTATCCAATACATCGACACTGTCCAAGACAATGACGACAGAAACCGGCGTGGGCCCCTCCAATACATCCCTGTATACTATGCGCAACCCAACAGGGTACAGAGTTTGAGCAACCATTGGGCACCTGGTGTGTTCACAAGAATGGTTATCGCTTCCTGCGCTTCGCTTGGCTTACAATGGGGAACAGTCGGAGCAGCATCTCTGGTAGGGTGGTTCACCCCTACAACAGTGAGTCTTCCTGTATACTTGTGGTCGAGTTGGCTAACGTCTGACAGGGAATAGGGTGTCGAACTTTGGGTTATCTTCTTTACGGAGTCATTTCGACTTTAGTTTGGATGATGCTCCTGTTGTCCAGTATTCTCGCTCACTCTTCCGCCGCTGACCCCCGCCGAGTATCGCTATATGCACGTCTTGCTTTGGCGGTTTCGCACGTCCTGCGATGGACGGGCAAATCGTTGGCCCTACTAAACTTTTTTTTGGCGACCATGGCATGTGTATTCCAGTACTCCAGCTTCTACGATAGATGTTACTGCAATTCCAGCGTGTTTAGCAGGGGAAGCACAGCGTATGCTGTGGTTATCGAAACCACAGCCCAAGCTGCACAGGCTAAGACTGCCTGGATCGGTGCCCTTGTCTTAGCATGTACATCAGCATCGGTTTTCCTTGGTATCCTGAATCTTTTGTCGGACACTTTACCATCGTAGGCAAGTGGGAGGAGCGACTTGTTGTAAAACTATTTTACAGTATTAGTACTATGCCATTATGTTCGAACAGGTGACTTGACTTTGTGAAATTTTCATTTCGTCGGATGATACCCCACCTCAATGTCGAATTCAGGCCTGCAGGGAGATAATATTTGTCTTACAGCCATCCATAGTACGAAATTACGAATGAGGATGGAGAAAAAATGAAAGTAGTAATGTTATGCCCCAGCCCAACCTTCCGAAACACCGTGACTGAACCGCAACATCGGCCAGGTGTGCACGCACAAGGGGGAAAGTAAAGGTAAGGAGCGTGACATTGAAAATGAGAAGTATCATCGCGCAATCATCATCCGCTCGCCTTCGAAGTTCGGACGTTGTGAGCCAATAATTGATGACAATGATAATTTTTCAATACTGTAGAGATACGCACTTAGGTTCGGCCCTATTGAGGTGTGACCAAATGAACGTTAGGTTCGAAGGTTCGCAGGGGGGGTGTGACGTGTGACACGCTGTGCTTAGGTTCGACGACCGACATCTGAGCACTGAGTACTGAGTACCGAGCGCACGACTCAATGGACACGGTCTGAAGCATTTCCCCTCAAAGTTCTGTACCATGCCTGATCTCTGTGTTGCCTCAGAGGCTAAATTCTAGGATGTGCTATCCATACCTGCACCATTCTCAATATTAATTGCTCCTTCTGGCAGCCTTTCTGTCGCTACATTACTGCTTCTAAACCTGCGTACAGTGTTACAAAATGACGCTTTGGCTACTAGAATTGTCTTTTCCACTCAGTACAAGGACTTTTGGCTGCACTAGACGTTTTTTTTCATGTTTTTACCGTATGTCACAGATTAGGTTCGACGGCCTCAAAATTGGTGTGACCGTCACGCAAAATAGGTTCGATTCGCTAGGCGTGTGATGGTGTGACGAACTTAGGTGCGTATCTCTACAGTATTAGGGGAACTCACACCTGGGAGCTTACGGTTTATGCTTATCCGTGCTTACGCTTACACCCCCCAATACTATCTGATTTGTATATGGGTATAAACAAACCAAAATACATTACATGCGCTGCCGCGTCCAGTATAGTCGGTGAGCGCTGTGACCGCCAATGTCGAGCGTTCTGCCAGTGGATTATTGATCGTCCGAGTCTCGTTAGCGTCATGAGAAAGAAGGACCCTACACCCCCTCCTATTCCCGATGTCCACTGGTCCGTGGATATGACATGGACCTTGCTGTCAGAGGTCGAGAAAGACGAGAACAGGCTTGTTTTACTGGGGAAGTGGGACAAGAAGGAAGTAAGTAATATTCACTTTCGGATCTCCTCAGCGCTGTCTCAGGATATTCTGGACAAGGTAAAGCAGCGCATCGTCTCCTGACTGGGATGAATTTGACGAAGATGATTGCTAAGTCCCCTGGCTGTATACCCTTCCAATTTTTCAACTCTCTTCAATACACTCGTTCACCATGTGACTCCTTTTACACTTGCTTTTATGCTTTTATGGTTAGTTTTAATGCTAGTTCACAGATGTTTAGATTTAGTTTAATTAGTTACATCTGTTGAAATGCTAGTAGTTCTTCGACCAGGAGCACCGCAGCCTCTTCGGGGGATAATTCTGGATTTGCCAGGTTACGGAGAACCATTGTCGACATATATGCGTGTAGATACTGCTCAGTGCTCATGGAGAGAAATTTGTGCCATCTTCGCTTGCAAGTTGTTAATTGATGACAAGCAGTAACTTGGTACTCTGTATTATATAATCTGCGTCTGCGCAAACTGGGGGGTTGTAAGCATAAGCACGGATAAGCATAAACCGTAAGCTCCCAGGTGTGAGCTCCCCTATTGAACTTCATGTAAGCTGGCCATAGGTGAGATGACTACGTAAGCAGCTTCAATATTGTTTTGACTCACACCGAGGTCACAGTCGACCGTGAAGTAAGTACTAGTATGACTATAAGGTATCATATAAGTCATTTGATTGAACGTGACACCTTGGTAGCTTCACGGCCAGTGAAATACTAATGTACGGGATGTCGAATGAGGAATTGGAAGAGTCATGACTCCTCCGGCGGTCAAGTCCATCACGATACGGTATCGACTTGGAGCATATTCCTTTGGCCAACTTCCAACCTTTATGCTATATGGTGTTTCAGTAAAGGTTGGTGATGTTTATCATTCCTGTAATACGCAACTAATACTGATACTCTATTCGTGTAGTCGACCACTGTGTATTGTTTGCACTAGCAGATTATTTGCTGACCCGTTGCGGCGGTCAGTGCCAGTGATTGCAATATGCTTTCGAGTCCACCCGTTCAATTGTTCGATCCCACAATCTTTTCAAGTGTTTTTAACACTATGGTCAATCCACAGCTCCCACAGTTTGTGACAATCAATACCACTAATCATGGACATTGATCTCTCCGATGCCGCACTTCCGCTGCGGATGTTTATAGAAAACCACAAGTGGTGTCCACAGCTCTGATTCATCTAAAAAGAGTGATTCTACAAGGTCGTTATGAGACTCTTCCCGCTGAACACTCCTTCATCTTGCACACACCCAGTCCTCATATTATTATTCACTATGTCCTATAGAGGTGTTTCTCGTCTTCGGCCCACGGCCACTCTCAGGCTCGTTACTTCTACTCCAAACCCGGATACAGACGAGGACTCCAACTCTTCTCTAAGCTCCTTCTCGTCACACTCAGAAGAAAAACTATCACGAGGCGGGACCGAAGCTCACCAAATTGAGCCTGCCGAGACGCCTCCACGGATCAGAGTCCCGCTGGCCCGACAAACTGAAATTGACAATAATACTGTAGCGGACAATATTGATAGGAAGGAGACTGTGGCTGAGCCGACACAGGTCGATGAAGACTGGAAGATGAGATCTCCATCTCCCATCGAGCTTAATTACGCTCCCATCGAGTTTACTTACGCTCCCACTCATTTTCATCAACTATATGAATATCAAGACATTGTTATGGCATCTCCTCTTCGCTCCCCTACTCCCAATGAAGTCCAGGATTCCGCGACATGGGGGTCCCCATGGGGCGCCGATCTGCCTCGCTCCCCCACTCCCAAGGAAGTTCATAATTCCTCTACATGGGGGTCCTCCTCCTGGGGCGCCGATCCTCCTCGCTGCCCTACTCCCAATGAAGTTCAGGATTCTGCGACATGGGAGTCCTCATGGGGCGCCGATCCGTCTCATTCCCCCACTCCAAAGGAAGTCCAGGATTCCTCAATATGGGGGTCCTCCTCATGGGGCGCCGATCCGCCTCACTCCCCAACTCCCACGCAAGTTCAGGATTCCTCGACTTGGGGGTCCTCCCCATGGGAAACCGATCCTTCACACTCACCCACGCAGGACTCTGCGACGCGGGGGTCCTCCACATGGTGATTGCCTTGGCTTCCATCCGTTCACGGCTTGGTTCGTATTTTATACCGTTCGCAACGGTTTAGGGAGCTGATGACATGTCATAGATATGATTGTTTTGTTTGATTGAGAGGGTTTAGAGAGAGGGAAGTCTGAAAGACGAACTATTGAACTGTAAGCGTATTATACCTTTTGCAAACGGTTTGGGGAGCTGATGGCATGTCATAGATATGTTTGCTTTGTATTATTGATTGAGAAGGTGTAGAAAGGGAAGTCTCAAGGACGAACTATTGAGCTGTAGGCGTTACAAGCATAGTTGCTGCTACTCTAATTGTGTCGGGAAATGTATTGAATATTCATTCTGATAACGCATAGTCACATCACTTCGCGCTTGTCTATGTTGCCTGTGTCTGAAACATGATTTGTTGGGTTTATGTTTGGAGACACTTCATGCTGCCAAGTGAATGTCTAAGTACCCTGAGTCGTAGACCAGTTAACAATGCTCGTAGGTGGAGTGCTCGACTACTACTATAAGTGAGTACTCAAAGCTTGAACTTAACGGTTCGATTTTGATCGATCACGTCCTGATCGATATGGGACTTGAGAATCAAAATGCGTGATTAGCAGCATCCATTGCCAACAAATATTGCTAGGAGTGCATAGCGAGGGAGCCAAAGAATCTCAGAACGAAGTCCATAACAAGTCCGTGATATGAGTATAACTAAAACCACTAGCAGATATAGGAAGGTATCCATGTCCAGTACCGATAAAAAATGAACAACCACAGCAGCAGTGAGTAATAGTATATATGCGACAAAGTGAAACAACAAGAATTATGTATAGGTAAGGATCAGCACATAAAGAACATAGTCATCTGATAGTTAGATCGGGTCGTGTAGGATTGGCCAATCAGATGCAAGGGGTTCTGCATACCCACCTTGATCACAGCACGTTACATGCTGTACAAGTGAAAAAATAAATATAGGGGCGCAGGGGGCATCATTGTCACAGGGCATTACCGCCACCTGTCACAACAGGATCATTGTTCCCAAGTGGACTAGGGCGTATAGGTTGCATGCCGGGGTCTCCCGTGGTACTCAGCCCCGCAGCTTCTATTAATGCAATCTGCGATGCGTTGGGTCTCTCTCTAGTTTGAGGCGTAGACTCGTGCCCTGATAAGTCGTAATAAGAAGATGATAGGGAATTTTGTGAGTAGTGCACGCCTGACGCTGAAGGGCCCATGACGTCGTCGACGATGTGGCTCAAGTCAACGTCCCCACCGTGGACCACGGAACCCATGAATTTTCCACGTTCGGTATCATTAAGTGACCCCGAGCTAGCGCGCGGATCCCAGGGGGAATCATAGTCAGAGTATCTTCCTGGAGGCGGACGTGGGAGGTCAACGTCCTCGAGGTCCTCGCCTGCGAGCAGTGTTGCTCTGGCACGGGCTTGTCGTCTGCGCACGTTGATAGCGTCAAGGAAGTGGAAGTGTTTGAAGCGCTGACGTTGGCGGTAGAAAAATACAGAGAGACCAACGATAAGGACTAAGCCTCCGCCTATCACGGAGCCGGCGATAACGGCAGTGCGATCTGTTGTGCCGGTAGTGGTGTTTGAAGGTAGACTGATGACCGTAGGAATGAGGCTGAAGGTCTGATGGCGTGTTAAGAGGGTGTCAGGCTAGTGAAACAAGCACGTACTGATATGGTAGATGATCCTATAACCGTCACAAAAGATGAGGTAATGGTCGACGTTGTCTGGCCTCCATTTGTGGAAGTTGGGGTCGTAGAAGTCGGGTTGTTTTGAGATATAGATGGCGGTGATGGTGATGGTGATTGTGATTGTGATGGCGAGGGCGAGGGCGAGGGGGATGAGGAGGTAGTGGTAGTCGGGGCTGGAGGCGAGGTCGTGGTTTGGGACGAAGATGATACAGACGAGGTTGTGGAAGTAGGAGGCTGAGATGTAGATGTAGAACTTGAAGTTTCTGAACTTGTAGACGAAGTGGACGATGTGGGTGTAGTTAACTCAGGTTGAGACGACCTAATTAGAGTAAATTTTGTTAGATAGCTTGCAACAAAAAGATGCCACAAATACCTACGTTGTAGTAGCAGGAGAAGTCGTACCAACATCGGAAGAGGACGTCGTTTGAGGTGTAGGACTGCTTGATGTCGGGATACCAACGCTGGGAGCCTGGGAGCCCCCAGGCTGGGTCCCGGATAACTGTATAGACGTTATTGTGGATGCCTGCGTTCAGAGATTAATATTAATGTTGTTGCGCAAGATGATATAGGGAAAAATGAGCTTGGTCTTCCGGTCCGCAGCCAAGACACGCACCTGACTGCCACTGGGGGTTAGAGTGGGTGCGTCAGTAATAACTGTAACGCTACTAGTAGTAGATTGTGCTGGGGTATTGGAGTCGGTCGTGCTTGTCGATGGGGACGACTGTCGTGGATTAATGTAAAGGAAGTTGAACTCAGGCATGCAGCTGTCGACTCGCTAATGAAGATCTGTCAGTACCTTCAGTGAAGCAGTTTGTCAAGACAACCCCAACTGTGACAGTGGGAAATAAATCCTACATTGCCGTACTCTAATTTCAGGTGTGAGCGTCTAATTTTTTAACATATGATGAGTGCAAGGAGCCAACGTGACCACAAGCACTATTACTGGCCCCCACGCCGCACTGCTGGCAGTGAACATAGTTCAGTTTATATCCACATTCTATGTTTTATCCGCAGCATTCTCACTTCACACCATCTCTTTACCCAGGGGTTTCCGCATCCACCTATTTATTTTCCTTCCCACTACGACGCACCACCCACTTCCAGGGTGACCGTTTGACTGTCCCGCCAGGTCCCACATCACAAGCAAAAGTGGCGCGATCGATGAAGACTGTGGGTTGGATGCCCGGCAGTGTGCGCGCTGCGTTTTCTTGGACGTTCAGACCGGAAGAGTACGTCCTCCTAACGACATCTCCCTCAGCACTACCACGCGCCACTAAATACCGTCGTCGATATTCTTGCTCATGGCGTAGCTTCTTCCGCGTATTCACCCTCCGAAAAGTCCTCGTCTCCGTCACCCTTGTCCCGGTGTTCCTGTTTCTCGCCATCATCTGTCAGGGAATACCACCAAACTACGAGGATATCAGGTCATTCGAACACCATCTCCCTCAGCACTCCTTGTCAGGACATCAGCCGCAGTACCTGCGATTTCCAGGTCACCTGTGGGGCTTCGGGTTCAATAATGTTCTTCAAGAAGCGTGTGTATTGGTTATTGTCGTCAGGTCTCATAAGTGGCTAATTGCTCTTATCAGTATTATGATGTCTTACCTCGCCTACGTGTCCAACGTATCATTTGTCTTCGAAGACTATACATGGTCGCATTTACCACTTCCATGGACAATTTACGACTTCGCTCTGCGTCCCGCACGTATACCATTCAACGCCCTCATATCGGGGCCAACCGCAGGAGGGCCAATGCCTAGCGCACCGGATGCACCCCGTGCAGTGAGCGCCGAGTTCTACGCGCAAGTCTGTGGAGGTCTTGAAAAAAAATACATCATCACCTCCCAGAACGCGCCAAACGACGCAGACGGCGTTGTCATGATCGATTGGTGGGCAGATCAGCTCGCGTCCGTGCAACAGCCATGCATAGAAATAGACTCGTCTGCCCACGTTGTCTTTGACAGCTAGTGAGTCTGCTCCAACAAGACATCAAGTCGAATGATTGACAGGTCGTCAAGCTTCTTCGGAAATCCACGGATTCTCTCTCTCTGGGAATCCTTGACTAAATCGCCCATGTTGACTGACTTCGCTTGGTCGCCGCTTGTGCAAGCCGCGGTTTCGCGTAATTTTGCTCTCTTCCAACCAGAGTCTGCTAAAGATCTCTACGATGCACATTCCCGTAATTCACTCGCTGGACTGGTCGCACTGCACCTCCGTAGGGGCGATTACAAGCGACATTGTCCGCACCTCGCAGAGTGGGGCGCAGACTACATGGGTATAAATCAGCATCCATCGCTCCCTGATCGATTCGATAAGTCTCCGTATGTCAATGACACGAAGGCAAGGCTGTCGTATTATCTCGACCATTGCTGGCCGTCGACGGAGCAGGTTGTGGAAAGGCTAAGGGGTATTCGGAGAGAGTATCCTGGGCTGAGACGAGTATATGTACTCTCAAACGAGTGGGCGTGGAGTCTTGATGGTCTGAAGAGCGCGCTTGAGGAGGATGGGTGGGACGACTTGGTGAGCAGTGCTGATATTGTGCTCGATTCAGAACAAAAGCACGTGGCTATGGCAGTAGACATGGCGATTGCAGAGAAGGCAGAGGTGTTTATTGGGAACGGGGTATGTTACTGCTACGCGGGTGATTTCCACATGACTCACGTACCTGCCGTAGTTCTCGAGCCTGTCGTCGAATGTGGTAATGCTGAGAATGGCGAAGGGGATGGAGGGGGAGAGCAATCGGTTTTTGTGATGAATCGAACGGACAATTATCTTAATGCTAAGTATATCCCGGAATATTATGTGACGAGCGGAGGTGTTCATAAGGAACATAGACAATGGATGCATATAGTCACAAAGCCCGAGTCAGATGAGCGCCCTCGTCTAACGACCGAATATCAAGGGTAGTATCATGATAGCTCGAATTAAACATGTTGAACTTTATCAATTGAAACAGATTTCGTCCAGGAGCGACTAGTGACGACGGAGACGCTAACATAAGAGGCAGCGATGGAGTACTCTCCTTAACTTAGGAGAGTTCTGGACAGAGGAGTTGAACGCTGAGTATGACTCAGTCACAAGCTGCAATTCTCGCGCTCGCTTGAAGTTACATAAGCGTTCGCATGATCCTGTGAATTACCGACGAACATCCGACATCAAGGCAAACAGCCCAATGAATTAATGAAGGCCGACATGTGTGATACAGCGATGCGAGAGTATTAGCCAGGGACAAAGGCGAAAGTTTGATGGCGAAGACAGCCAATACGTATACGTACGGTATAAGACAAAAATACTTTGAAACTGATGGCACGGGTATCGATACCCGAAGAATTCACTCGATTGGTGTGAATGTGCATCTTAGTTGTGAAATGACAAGCGCCAACTAAAGTAGGCTTGCAACGTAGTCCGATGCGAGAAGCTGAAAAACACCAATAAGATAGGATTTTCAATTATTCCGGGACAGACATACCCTTGACAAGGGCCGAAGAGAGACGAGGCATCGGCGCACTCATTTCTTCGGGGTAACCTTTTGCTTTTTGCTCAGTGGAGGTTCCACTTCAGCCTCAATACCCTCTTGAAGTTCAGTCCACTCTCCGGCACCGACTTCCTGTCCAAACCTTCTCCTGAAGCGTCCCAAACGACCAGTGCCCTCTTGCTCTTCATCTTCTATGCCTCCCTCCCCGACCGCTCCGCTCAAACGTTGGGTAGCGTTCCAAAGAGGGTTATTTGTTGTATCGCGCGTCAAGGTTATTCGTGAACGCGGTGATGTCGTCCATTGCATGTACGATGAGCCGTCCGCACGAACGACACGCTGAGGGAAATGAGGAACTACTGGGTTGGGTAATTTGGGTAGACGTTGCTTGAAAACATGTGAGCGACCGTACGGAGAAGTAGAGACACTTCTTGTCAACAGAGATGGGGATAAGAGCCCTGCAGATGGACGTTTGCAGAGTAGAGACATGGTTTTCGATAAATGACCACAAGATGTAGAAGCTTCAATAATTAACTGAGCTTCAAGTAAATCACGTGATCTGGAACTTTGAATCGACGCTCGCCGCTCTCAAGCACGACGACCAGCCCTCATTCATCATTTGCCAACCCACTTTTTGTTTGTAAGGACACTCTATTGTATTGAATCATGACTCGCTTGCATCGAGTCTCAATATACTCCTCCGTCCTTATTTCGATCTATCTACTGGTGTTATTGAGGTCCTGCCCATACCACTCATTGACGCCAGTGTAGCCCAAGAGATCCTTCCTGTCGTGCGTCCTTCTCATGAGCTGACCGGCGCGAATGCCTTAGCTTACGTACCTGTAACATAAATCAGATTCCATGGTGGCTTTTGGTGTCACTCGGGTCGTATTCCCTCTGGAGTCTCGGCTGGGGGATGTTTACATTCCGTGACTGTCCCGATGCCTATCACGAGTTGCTGCAGGCAAGAACGGGTCATATCTCTCAAGGACTTACACGCTGATCATCGCCTGTAGGAAATCAATGAAGCCAAAAACGATCTCCGAAGTCGGGCTGTCACCGTCGACTGAGGCGTCTCCTTCACTTATTCTCTACACCTTTGTTTGAGACTCGCCTTATATTACATACTTAAATGCAGATGTCATTTATATTCGATTTGAATGCCGTCCCATGAGTCTCAGTGATACTTTATTCACTTCACCAAGCCTACCTCAGTCCCGATCTAGTGCGCTATAGATGGGCTTTATGTGTCCTTCATCTTTTGCACCTCATAGCTGACTTTTCTTGTTTCGCAGGGGCTAGTGAAGATATGATCTGGCTTGCGAACTTCACCTAATGGGACAACTTCAGCTCTTCGTCGAACGGTTACTCAGAGGTACTTATTGTACACGGAAACAACACACGCATGATAAGAATTGCGATGGAGTTCGTTTTGTGCATCGCACAGTCGAATGTCGGTGTTTAAGTTGGGATACAGGTGCGTCTTTGGTGCTTTATCCTCGCATTATTCATGGTTATTCAGATTAAGCGCCCAAGTTTTATTCTCTGACAACATATGCAGCTTCTTCACTGTCATCGTGCCAGACTTCTCAATGTCGAGGCACGACTCTACACGACACACGAGGATCTAGGCCTAGGTACTGAACGTCATCTAACCGACTAGCATGCGTGTGCAAACAACATATCTTGTGACCTAAACGCATGAGTTATGATAACATTGACTCCCCGTCAAGGGTTGCGTCTCGCAGCCAAGGCTTGTCTTCTGGCGCGTCACAAATATCACATTCCTTCGCATGTGTTCATCTCTTTCGCGGATAGCATCTTCCCAATCGAACCGACAACGCAACGAGGAATATGCATATACTCCGATACCGTACATTTTTTGAGTCGTGATCCTCCAAGGCTAATCGCTCACTGAATTTCTCAGGTCGGGTGATGTACGTTGCACCCCAATCTACAAGTTTTATTCTAACTGCAGTACTGGCCGGTGAGGTACGCAGGTACAATACATGGCTCGACTGAATCATCACGCAAGTCATCATGGTTACAGGCGATCCAGGGAGGTGGTATTTCTCGTTGCCTCTCGCATGGCTCTTGGCATTTCTGGCGCAGTGGTCTGCGCAATAGTAACGAGTCATCTAAGCTTTACTCAGATAAAATTCTCAAGTTTATCAGGCTCGTTGACCAATATCTGAAGAGCTCATCCTGCCGCTCTTTCTGTACCATGACAGTCATTCATGTGCAGTGGTTTTAAGCTTTCTTTGGTACCACTCAGGAAAGATAGCTGTCCGTTGCAGGACGCGACAATGTGAAAGCTCGAACTTCGTCTGTCGATATCATGTTCAACCTTCTTTGAGGAATGAGAATAGTCACTGGAAGTAGTATGTAGCATGGGTAACATTATCCGCAGCTTGCAAATGATTGCGTCAACATGCGATAGTGATGGTCGGTAGCCTCCTGCACTTCCCAATGACGCATCACGAAGTGAGAATGGTTTCACCAGGGACGGATTAATGACCTTTGGCCCAACAACACGACTCCGGCCATTCAAATCGTCCTCCAAGCTCCAAGTCCAGCTGAAATTACAAGGTTGAACAAATTATCGATGGGCCAAATGCAGCCCACAGTATGCAGCCCACGATAGCAAAATAACAATAAAACTCCATTATTCATCGTACTGAGTCAGCTGCAGGTCTGTGAGTACTTGATCCCGCACACATTCGGGTACCAATAACTTACATCCAACGTCAGCGTGCGAGAGCTGTTTACATCTTGATCACGGTAGATTCCAACAAGGGAATTACCACGTTCATACAAGGAGCCCTTCAAGCTAATGACGATGAACTGGAAGGAGTCGGACGCCTGGCTCCGGATATAGTTGGCGATCTTGGCAACGTTGGTATTGTCCAGAGCAGCGTCTACCTCGTCAAGGACAAAGAACGGTGCAGGTTGATAACTTGTGTCATAGTGAGAACGAAGATTTGTGGGGCGAAGACGAAAAGATCAAACCTGTGTATCGCAAAAAGGAGAGCCAAAGCAGCCACGGTCTTCTCCCCGCCTGAGAGTTGTTCCATGTCGCGGAATCGCTTCATCGGGGGCATGGCATGATATTTGATGCCGGCATTATAAGGTTCCTGTGATAAACAAGTGTAAAATGGCCTGGACTAACACACCGAAGGACCCACCTCACTGTCCTCTAAACTAAGATATGCGACGCCTCCCATCGGCGACGCCTTCCCTTTAGTGAGGTCTTTATAGACCTGGTCAATACAATCTGAAATGTGGTTGTACGCCTTGTTGAATAGCTCGCATCTGGTTGCTGGGATGAGGTTGGCGCTCAAAGTAAAACTATCCGCGTACCTTTGTCGCTTGACATCGTTGAACTGATCGCGCGCATTTTTTGAGTCTTTCCGTGCTTTATCAGCCTCTTTCTCTGTGTCTGCAAGCTTGGCCTCGACATCATCTAGCCTGTCCAACAATCACTATCAAGTCATTAAAGAATTGGAATCGACATACTTTTCGATAGCCTTCAAGTTAGGTGCCATCCTCTCAATCTCTCCGTTGAGTTTCGCAATTTGTGCATCGAACTCGGCGGTAGTCTCAGGAGAATTATCCTATAATAAAAGTCAAGCGCAATTCCGTCCCATCAAAACTTACATACCGCACGCTCCTCCTCAGTCAAAGAGTCAAAGTCAATCTCGATCCCATAATCTTGGACTTGACGTGGTTGTTGGGTACCATCATCGTCATCAACGTCCATCGCTACCTCCTCCCGAAGGTTCTAAGCGAGAATCGAAATTAATGCGCGTATGACCTTTCAAATAAACGGCCTCACCTCTTCCATCGGGACGTTCTTCAAATTTCCTTCTAGTAGAGGTAGCTTGATGTCCTCGAGCCTGCATTTCCTGTAAGTCGCCGACCGTTCTAGTGCTAGCTTCTCAATCTCATCGTTCTGAAGATGAATCGATGAATTATAAGTGGTCGAGCTATCTGAGCAAACGATTAGCATACCTTGAGACCAATCTCTTTGAGAGCCTGATCGAGTATCTTGGCAGCTTTCGTGTGCGTCTTTTTGGCTTGGTCGACATGCTTGTTCTTCTCTTCGAGCACGTCATTAAGGCCTTGCAGCATTTCTCTAAGCTGCGCGATGCCCTCCTGCGCTTCAGTAATCTCAAGTTGAATGGTCCTCTTCTTTTCTTCTAGCTCCGCTACTTTCCGTTGCTCATCTTCAGCCGCGCTCCGCAGCGTTACCAGACGCGACTGTGTCAACTTCAACTGCTCCTCTTCGAACTGAGACCTGCGCACACATGTTAGTCAACCTTAAAACGGCGAAAAATAAAACTCACTGGTGCGTCAGCCTCGCAACCTGCTGATCGAATCTAAGTCGCGCCTGGCTCTCCTCTTCGGCGACTTTCAACTGACGCTCCTCGTACTCTCGAACATTCTTGACGCCTATCTGAGAGCAAAACGAGGCAAATACGCCATCATCGGCTGAGTCAATCGTATTTTGGAGTTCTGCGATTTGCGAAGAGAGTTTCGAGTGTGAAGTTTGAGCCTGTAATTATGGTCAGTTCCATTCGGGTCTGCTACACAGGTGCACGAACCTTTTTGAGCTCAGGAGAGAGCTTCTTCAGTTCCCGTTCGATGTGCTTTAGCTCCTCTTTGATACCGTTGTACCGGGATTTGCAGGCGCTCTAAATGCCGCAGATAGAACAATGAGACTATTGTAGTGCCATCGACAACTATTGCAAGAACGTACCAGATCGTCTCTTACAACAGCTATAGCACTCTCTAGTCGCGTGATTTCAGCGATAACGTTTTCGTCTGCCTTGCCCCTCGGTTTCGAGCGACTCAATTCCTGAAGTTGCGCCACAAGATTGTCACGAAGACGGGTGAGGCCTACAGATCAATAAGTGTGAGAGACCATGGTCGGTGAGCTGCCTACCTTGCACGTCCTTCTCCTCCCACTTCTTTCCTCCCCCATGTGTACTACGCCCACCAGTAATAAGCCCACTCTTATGGATAACGGTGCCCTCCAATGTAACAGCTGTGCAAATTTTAATACAGAGTCCAAATTCTCGCAAACGAATATCTACTCACCTTTCACCTCCTGCCCCCGTTCCCAACATACATACCTCGCCACGTCCATCGTATCACATACAAGTGCGTTCCCACACGCATGGAGCATTGCACGCTCTACGGCAGGCTCATACTGGATCACGTCCACAGCGAGACGTGCGCCTCTAGCGAATGAGCGGAACTTGTCGTTGATGGGCTTGGTGCTGATCGTGTCGAGGGGGAGGAAAGTTGCTTGACCGGCGCGCTGGGTGCGCATATACTACCATGTTTCGAGATTAGTCTAGATGAACAATGACAAAAGGCAGAGAAGCGCACATCAATGCATTCGATGGCAGTTTTTTCTTCGTCCACGACGACAGCGTCTATATTACGCCCAAGGATGACGGATACCGCTGTCTCGTACTTGCGTTGTGTGGGTTTGCAGAGGTCGACCACGCGCCCACGGACGCCTGTGAAATGTGAATGGTGACTTTCTCGGACAAGGCAGGCGACGCTTACCTGGGAAGATGCGCTGCAGACTAGCGAGCGTCTCCTTAAGCTTTGCCTCGCGCTCGGATTCGTTCCTATCGACGCCTGCTTGGAGCAAGCGCTGATAGACATCCGCGAGCTTTTCGTTCGTCTCGGTCTCAAGACGGCTGCGGGATAACAATGACATGACGTGTGATAAGTGCTTGGAGACGAGAGAAATACCTGATCCTTGTCCGTTCACTCTGCTGGTTTTCGTATTCTTGCTTTGAGCGCGCATGGTCGCCCTGGAGGGCAGCAAGCTTTTCCTCGAGCTTTGATAATACAATGAGCAGATGTGATACATTGAACTCAGAAAAAAACGTACCTCGGACTTGCTGGCTTTCTGAGTTTGCTCGTCGCCGCGCAGTCTTTCCTGGTTCCGTTGCAATTCTTCATCTTTGGCCCTCACTTGAGTAAGTGTCCGAGACGCTGTCTTTTCGTCTCGACTAAGCGTCTCCAGGGCTTGACGCTCAGAAACGGCGAGGACACTGGCTGATGCTTTTCTGTTTGTGGCGTTAGCACTGCGAAACACACGCGTGCGCGACTCACAGTGAGCGATATTCGGCTAGACTGTCCTCGCTGAGGGAAGTGTTATGTTGAGATGCACGTCTGTGGGCCTCTGCGTATGAAGAGTATGAAACAATGTAATATAATGCATCTAGAGATGGCTTACCTGCGGCCTCATCTGCGGCCTGTCTAGCATTGGAAAGGTCCCGCCTGAGCGAGTGGAGCTTAGCTTGCTGACGCTCAGCATCGTTGTCAACCTGCTCCTCTATCTTCAGCGAATTTTGCAGCTTTCTAGACGAGTGCTTGATCTGAGCGTCCACCTCTACTAGTTCAGGTTCCTACTACTTGTTAAATTTTGTTAAGTGGTGAATAGAAAAATCAGCTGACCTTGGCTTCTAACGCCTTTTCGGCCTTCTTGACTTTCTTCTCCTCTCGTACGACTGCTGTGCGGGCCCTTGCTTGCTCTGCACGCACATCCTCCAGAGCCTTTTCGTGCTCTCCATGCTCTGCACGTAAGCCAGCGAGGGCCTTTGACTTTGTTTGAATGTCGCGGGCATTCGCTTCAAGCGCCTCTTCGATGTGGAATAGCTTATAAAGAATGCGTTTCAAGATAAGGTCATCCTGGGAACGTATGAGCATTGTATTGAAAGAATGGTAACGCAGGCGCACCTTTTGATCGCACAAGCTCTCAAATCGCTCTGCTTCGCCCTTTTGTTCCTTATACTGTTTGATTTCGCCCGCGATCCCTCTCCTCTTCGTGAAGTTGAAGGTCGCATTCTCTGTTGCGCGTTCTTGGGCTTCCTTTGCTTTCTCATATTCTGGAGCAAGCTCAAGAGAACCCGAAATTTGCTCTATGAGGCGGGAAAGCTCCCTGGGAGACTGAGACGCGACAGCCTCGACATCACCCTGGAAGACGAGGAAGTTCTTGGCTTTGACGAGGATATTGTGAGACGTCAGGGCGGCATTGTACGCGGAGTAGGTAACGACTTTACTGTTGAGACGGTATTCAGACGTTCCAGTGGTCGATATGCTGGACGGAAAATAACAGTCAGAAGTCCCGGGTAAGTCAGACCAAGTAGAACATACGTTCGTTGAAATAACCACTCCTTTCTCTTTTCATCCTGAAACACTGCAAGCACCCATGCCTTCTTAGCGGTCCCCTCTCCCTCACCGTCGCCATCACTATTATCATCGTCTCCCTGGTCTTGCGTGGTCTCAGAGCCATCCAAGGGGCCTTTGGCGAGCCGGCGGCCGCGGTAGACGAGATCTTTGAGCTGGCTACTGCGCAGCTGCGCACTCTTTACACCAAGCACAAAAGAGATTGCATCCATGAGATTTGATTTTCCAGCACCATTGGGGCCGATAACGGAGGTAAAGTTCTTGAACGGTCCGATGACTTGGTGGCCCCTGGAAAAGAATAGGTAGACCCGGTAAACATTGGATTAGTCCTTGACAAAGTATTATATGGGCGCACCGATAAGACTTGAAATCGCTCACTTCTATGCGGATGAGGGGCATATTGACCAAGCCAATTTGAAGTATTATTGGTCTTACTGGCAGTTGCTTGCCAAGTCCAAGTGATACTTGAACGCGACACTGTCACAAACACGCCTGTCACATGCACATGTGACATTAATCGAGTTTTAATCTCATGTTCGCCATCGCGGGCACGTTCAGAAACTATTCGACTTGAAGTTCACCACTTTACGTAGTATGCTATCACAGTCGACGTACAAAACGAATACTCCGCAGGACCTCTCCTAGTGGCGAGGCCTAACCACGCTGACGGAGTTTGTGCAGGCTTGAGCCTGATGATTCTCACCCACCTGAACAGAAAGCATCCGTGCAGAACACCCAATTTATCTGTCCACGAAATCGACGGGAGATATGCCAATATAGCCGGTCAGAATAAGTAAATTCAGCTCATATGAGGAGACAAACTCAGCATATTGATGCTGGTGGTGAGACACGGTTTATTGGCGCAGTACCAACTTAGGAGGAGTCTTGCAAATGTATGCAGAGTATAGCATTCCAATGTAGCACACGTGGGATTTCCGAGGGCAGCGTTATCAGTCATTTTGCTTGCTCAGACCAATTCAAATTATAAAAGGATTATCAGAGAGATAGCTGATTCAGTGATGTTGTGTTGTCGACTTACCTATTTCCCAAATGTCAGTGCTGGTGGCGACTATTATGGTATCAACAATTCCCTCGATAAGTGCTTATTTTTTCACCCCGGTTGTATAGCACAGCAATAGTGGCTGCAGTTGCGAAACAACAGTCAGACTCAAGATCGAGTGAGACATCACCAACATTATCTAAGACTGACTTTTCGCTATAAAAGCTGACAGGACGAAAAACGGCATCGATCAGCAGTGGTCAACTAGCAAAGATTGAGACCTGGACCACCACCCGGC